CAGTTTGATAATGAACATTATTTGATGAGGAAAACAAATTAACAAATGATCAGAATAAATAAAAGTCTCATTTTTTATATACGAATGAGAGTATGAGCTACTCTCCTGAAAATGTTTTAAAGCAGTGTTGCTATCAGCACATAAATGTAAGTGTAAAATTGAATAAAATGATCTTCTGATATGTAACTAATGTCTTTATCTGTAGTATGAAAGCTATACTCTAACTAATGATAGTATTAGATATTCAAGCACAACCTTGACTTTCTTTATTTTTTCCCACAAAAATATTTAAACAACTCTTAAATCAAGCATTATTACACATTTTTCCATATTTTTTGTCTTTCTAATACAGGATTTGTACGTGATGAAATGTGCATTGTATATAGTTTGTAAAACAAACTGTGAACATGTCAGGAAAACTCTTTTCTAAATGCTATAGCCATGTATAATAGCCATAGAATGAATTCGTACAACAGTTTAAAACTAATATTAACACTGACTCAGCGTGAACAATACTATATGTATGTGGAGTATTATTAAATATTAAATAACAATAAAGCGACACAGCATATTTATCATAAATAAAAGAAATTAGTATAATGAAGCATTCCTTTTTAACAATTTATACAAAATATAGAAACAAAACAATAATGCACGGACAGTATATACAAATTTTGCTTCATACCTACTTTCACATTTTTCTTTTTATAAAATAAACAATTAGCTTAACCATTTCGAGAAACAATGAAAAAACACTTTGGATCGCAGATCGTACATAATATCATATAACTCAATAGAGAATTAATACAAAGATGAATACCATCAATTAATTACCATTATAAATATCATTTACTATCACTTAAGTTAAAGGTATAAAACTAATATTATTACTCTAATAGACAATGACACGACAGACGTGTAGTTTTTACAAAAAGTAGGTTTTTCAAATCATGTCGGTATTTACAACTGCTTTTCTTTGCAAATACGTATCATATAAAAATCTTACATGCAAAACACAAAGAGCATAAGCTTTTTGTAAAAACCACGTTGCGTTTTTTTCTCTCTCTGGTATGTCATCGGCAGGTAATATGTATGTAGGGACGATCCATGGTGCTACTGGCAACCATTATACTATTCTATGGTCTAGTGCTTTATGTACTTAGTATATATTTCACATGAGCGTGCTATGTGAAGTAAATATATTAATGCATTACCGCCAAGTACAGATGTATAACGATGAACGTTATGCATATGTTGCATTTCATAGCTTCACGTTTTAAAAATATGATCAATGATGAAAAATAAGATAGAAATTGGAACTGATATTTCTACAAATCATAAACTCTTTTATGATAGTATAAACGCAAAATATCTGCCATTATTACTGTAGGTATAGATTTCGGTTTATATAATCTTGATCTACCTCATAAAAATATATATCTATGTTACATTGTGAGGGCTTCAAAATAGCTTTTCGATATAAAAAGATAAAAAACGTTCTATTGTAAAGAATCAATTTCAGTGGTGCGCTTTTGATTTTTATATAATGACAATTAATTTTGGAGTTCCTAATTATGAAAATAATAAGAGAGAGTTATTTCCCATGATTTCTAAAAAAATACTATTCATTCTATCAAAAAAGAGACCGTGATCGTTACCTTACTATATAATATTGCCTTTNCAGTTTGATAATGAACATTATTTGATGAGGAAAACAAATTAACAAATGATCAGAATAAATAAAAGTCTCATTTTTTATATACGAATGAGAGTATGAGCTACTCTCCTGAAAATGTTTTAAAGCAGTGTTGCTATCAGCACATAAATGTAAGTGTAAAATTGAATAAAATGATCTTCTGATATGTAACTAATGTCTTTATCTGTAGTATGAAAGCTATACTCTAACTAATGATAGTATTAGATATTCAAGCACAACCTTGACTTTCTTTATTTTTTCCCACAAAAATATTTAAACAACTCTTAAATCAAGCATTATTACACATTTTTCCATATTTTTTGTCTTTCTAATACAGGATTTGTACGTGATGAAATGTGCATTGTATATAGTTTGTAAAACAAACTGTGAACATGTCAGGAAAACTCTTTTCTAAATGCTATAGCCATGTATAATAGCCATAGAATGAATTCGTACAACAGTTTAAAACTAATATTAACACTGACTCAGCGTGAACAATACTATATGTATGTGGAGTATTATTAAATATTAAATAACAATAAAGCGACACAGCATATTTATCATAAATAAAAGAAATTAGTATAATGAAGCATTCCTTTTTAACAATTTATACAAAATATAGAAACAAAACAATAATGCACGGACAGTATATACAAATTTTGCTTCATACCTACTTTCACATTTTTCTTTTTATAAAATAAACAATTAGCTTAACCATTTCGAGAAACAATGAAAAAACACTTTGGATCGCAGATCGTACATAATATCATATAACTCAATAGAGAATTAATACAAAGATGAATACCATCAATTAATTACCATTATAAATATCATTTACTATCACTTAAGTTAAAGGTATAAAACTAATATTATTACTCTAATAGACAATGACACGACAGACGTGTAGTTTTTACAAAAAGTAGGTTTTTCAAATCATGTCGGTATTTACAACTGCTTTTCTTTGCAAATACGTATCATATAAAAATCTTACATGCAAAACACAAAGAGCATAAGCTTTTTGTAAAAACCACGTTGCGTTTTTTTCTCTCTCTGGTATGTCATCGGCAGGTAATATGTATGTAGGGACGATCCATGGTGCTACTGGCAACCATTATACTATTCTATGGTCTAGTGCTTTATGTACTTAGTATATATTTCACATGAGCGTGCTATGTGAAGTAAATATATTAATGCATTACCGCCAAGTACAGATGTATAACGATGAACGTTATGCATATGTTGCATTTCATAGCTTCACGTTTTAAAAATATGATCAATGATGAAAAATAAGATAGAAATTGGAACTGATATTTCTACAAATCATAAACTCTTTTATGATAGTATAAACGCAAAATATCTGCCATTATTACTGTAGGTATAGATTTCGGTTTATATAATCTTGATCTACCTCATAAAAATATATATCTATGTTACATTGTGAGGGCTTCAAAATAGCTTTTCGATATAAAAAGATAAAAAACGTTCTATTGTAAAGAATCAATTTCAGTGGTGCGCTTTTGATTTTTATATAATGACAATTAATTTTGGAGTTCCTAATTATGAAAATAATAAGAGAGAGTTATTTCCCATGATTTCTAAAAAAATACTATTCATTCTATCAAAAAAGAGACCGTGATCGTTACCTTACTATATAATATTGCCTTTAATGATATTATTTTATTGATTGTATTCCTAACGTGATAAAAGTCATTTTGTGAACATCCTATATTGCATAGGTAGATATGCAGATCTTTTACGGTATGCAATGGCAGACCTCTAAACACAGAAGACTAAGCATTATTGTTAGTTCTTGTAGCAGCTGGTAGTTATAAGAATAATTTTTCGCTTTATTTACCAAGTTACATTTATACTTCTTTTTTATCAGGCTGCATCGTGTTAATGCCACTAAATGTAAAACCTATGCCTTCACCAGATAGCTTTGATAGAGACAGTTAAACATTTAACTTACAGTACACCTATTGTTATATATGTCAGCAGAAATAAGTGATTATATTCATAGTTGAGAATGTGCATGAGACATGAAGTGTCGAGTCATGAAGTAATTGTCAATACTGAACTCTGTAAATCTCTGTAAATCCCTGTAAATCAATGCTAATGTCTTTATGGAGAGAAATGTATCGTATCGATCGTACGTATACTATGAATTTATCAAAAAATATATACCACTGATAAAAAATTTGACAAAACAATTTGTTCTGCATTGTAAAAACTCTATCAAAGTAGGAATGCAAAATACGACTCGTCTAAAAGGAAAGAGGAACATGATTCTCTACATGAGATATTCTTAACGAGCAAACCTATCAGATCACTCTTGAAGCTCGATATCATAGCACAAAATTACCTATATGAATATGTAGATAAATATTATCATTGCGTTCCGGCATAATCGTTAGTTATATAAAAAATTGTCTTTGCTTATAGCTAAAATATTATGATGCCTCGGCTATATAAATATATATATTTATATCATTATCATTATTGTTATTATCATATTATTTTTCATTAGCGCATAGAATATTTATATATATATACCATTCACAACACAGAGTGCATAGTACGAAGCTGAACTGAATCTGTTCACCCCTAATTAGATTACGTACAAGGGAGGAACAGATCATGAAGCCTCAATGTAACAACGCACAACCAATTTTTATACAACCTGCGTGCACCAAATTTGCTTTCTGTCATCTCTCCTCGTATTGACAAAAAGCAAGATTTTTAACTTACATATTTGTATTAAGTAGAATCGTTAAGGTATTATGTTTCTGACAACATGAGCTTTACTAGTAACGGATGAAAGACTAATACAGACAAGAATCAATTTCCACAACCATTTCCATATTCATCACCTGGAGTGCTTTAACAAATAGCAATGAAACAAAAATGTACAACCTTCTGAACCTTTCCTTATGCAAAGAATTCCGTTCAAATTGTTAAAAATAAATATTGAAAAAATTGTTTTTTTTTTTAACAAAAGAAGCATCTACACTAAGCACTCATTACATAATGCTTTTATAATGAATTTTACGCAACGACGAACTTCTGATATGGTACTACGTGTAAATTGTGGAAAATAATTGTATATTTGTTTGTACAGGAAGAACTCTTATCGAAATCATCAACCTTATTGATTGACTACGTTAATATTTTCTTCATTTATGTGATTCGTGTTGGATGATATTATGTTTCATTACAAATGAATATTCTCTGAAAAGACTTGTCTCGATGATCGATTATCAAACGTGATCCTATCAAAGATGATATCCAAAATATTTTAACTTATTCTACCTCTGCCCTATATTTACTGCTAATACGAATGGAATGATTCTCAACCGAAATACACGGTGTCCCAAGAGTAATTGCTCGATATCACGGAGACTAATGGATTTTTTGTTCGCTTTTTCCTAACACTGTATACTGGAACTTATTCATTATGGAATTGTGCTATCTGTTAAGAATTTCTTTTGATGAAATTTGATTTTACACATTATCAGTAATTCAATAGCAGTATTGCATTTGTTGTTAAGGTAGTGCAAAAGCATGTTGAAGCATTAGACGATGTTCGATCGATCACATGCAAAGTTCAAAGTATGGGAAATAGCATACCGCTATAAATAACGTTAACATAGTAGAATTATCTTTACAGTTAGAGTACTATGGTCTTTACAATTGCACAATTTCTGAATCACAGGATTTTCCCTAGAAAGAACATACAACATGTGCTTCAATTTCAACATTTAAGCTCTCTGTCGAAAAGAAATTATTAAAATATCCTTAAAAAACAAACGCGCTCTTACAACAACAATAAATAAACAATAACTTTTAGAAAGACACAAAAAAGGAACTTTTTCACCAACGACTTCTGCACACCTTAAAACGGCAGTAAGCAAGCCTTCGTTTGTCGTATTTGACAAAATCTGTTCAATCGGATGATTTGTGTTGCGGACAAAAATCTTACTTTCTGCATGATATTGTCCATTTAAAATTTCATATTTTTTTGTTCTCAGTGGTAACGGCTAAAAATAATTGCGTACAAAAGACGTTTCGATTCATGCAGAATGTAAGATGAATGCGTTGTTCGACATTAAGATTAATGTTTGCGTGACTTCAGTTTTCACAAAAAAATTTTTGTTTCTTTGTTCTTAGAATTACAGTCTTACTAAGAATATTCCTTTTGGCTTACAGGAGTTCGTTACTTTAAGCTCGATCAATGAGCAATAACATTATCGAATTTCAGTGTTGGAACGTCCTGGTAAACTTCCTCAAAAATGTGCTACTCCGTTTCACAAAACCTAGCAGAGTCTTTACGTACGCTTTTGAACACTTTACATTGTATTGTAAGTGAAAAATTTAACTTCCTTCGCGCGACTTACGCTCAAAGCGTACAGAATCTCGATTTCCTCGACTGTTCTGATTACAAACACAAAACAGGTTTTAGGTGTTCGCGATGATGGTATAAGTTTCATCGCTTACCTGGTTCGTTAAGTGCTCTCTCATCGTTACACTGGTTATTCGAGGCCATCGTTTCGGTAATTCTCATATTACTTACGTTTAAGGTGACACATAAATTGTGCTCAAGCCACTTGTTAATAAAAAAAGCCACAAAAACCTAAGTATTTAGTTACTAAAGTCGCCTAGGTTGCACGACGCTGTTATTGTTCAGACGCGTCGTCGTTTGGTTATTGAAGTTCTCGTCTTGCGGAATGTGTTCTGTTCTTTCGTCGAAAAATCCTGGATTCAGAATGATGTTGGGAACCAGTTCAATCACTTCCTGCTCCTCCAGCTGCGCTGCAATTCGGGAACGGAGATTAATTTTCATTGGTCTAGGCCACGAGTTATATTAGCTTCTACCCTCTCCCTTTACCAATATTTTGCTGGGCTACATTTATATTGGATCCAGAAACATCTTTGCAATATATACATCAAAAAATCAAAAGTTTGTAAGATAACATTTGGAATTCAATCTGTACAGTGAACGCATTTCTTACCCAGCAAATGTATGTGCTACCTTTGACCTATGTTTTGTATAGTCAAAGATCCACTAATAGCACATAATATTATCTAGGCCATAATGCTCTATCACTATTACATTACTCTCTATTCATTACACTAATCATTCTGCATACCAAATTTTATACAAACCACCAAAGCTTATATATCGGACACACAAAATGTTTTACAAAAAAGTTAGTAACAGGACAATAAAGTTCCTTGGTGAACAATGTAGATAGTAAGTTTGGTGGCTGATGAAATCTATTCATAAGAGATTCAGGTTTCATTCCTATGAGGAGTGTAGAAGGTGCTACTGTCAGGCAAACTGTATAGAAAAAGGTAAAAATATGTTACAGATTAATTTAGTGCTCTATGTTGTAAAGTGTTCAGTGCAAAAGTTAAGAGAGTGTTATTGTTAAACTGGTATATGGTACGATAGATTCATTAAGATGCTAGTAAGTTTTTAAAAGTTAAAATACTAGAAAATTTGTTAAATGCTAATAAAATTTGCAGAGCGCTTGCAGTAGGGAAATATCAGTGGAAGATAATTGGTTCTGTATTAGAATAGCACTAAATTGATTGAAAGGAGAATGGCTGATGTAAAGAAAGCTAGAGATCAGGGCCATAGATAAGTCAAGTGGTTAGTGATGCTATCGTTTCTGCTGCAGATCTTCTTCATTAGATAGAATACATTACACGGTTTGTAGTTGCTCTTAAAATTACACAATATTACATTGTTCTATTATATCGGATTTACTCGCGCGGAAGTAAGTGTGTTTCCTCAGCAGAAATAAATAGCATGAAAGAGAAAGAGTAGAAGCAAAAGCTCTTAGATAAAGTTACCAGGAAATGCTTACAGGGTACTTTGCACTCACGATAGAGGAGGTAACAAGTACCTATACCAAGAATCATAAGTGTACCCATAACTATGCCTACCGCTGCCACCCAGACACGAGTGTCAAAATTTTCTACACCTGATAAGAGATGTCTTGCAAGTTCTGAAATAATTGTCAATTATAAATAATAATACATTCTGCACATGCAGAGTTGTACTCTGTGAATTCGTTAAGCGGTAGATCTGTACCTAATTCCTCGACACTGTGATGCGTGTGACCTTCGACCTCAACGATCTCTCCTCTTCCCAGCTGATTTGTTGCCCACACTCGGAAAGAATACGTCGTGTTTGGCACCAAGTGATAAACATCAATTTGCCTCTACAAAATCATTCGTTTAAGGCAAATTAGTTAATGACTGGTAACATGAAATGAATATTGTGTTGTTAGAGTAAATTACAGAATTTGGTGGAATGTGCGTTGGAACAATAGGCTTCCAGTCTTCTGGTTCTTCACCCACATTCGGTTTAAGACGATATTCGGCAGTGAAATCTATGATAGGATAACCACCTGTGCCAGCTACTTCCCAAAGAATATTTGCCAATATTGTGGATGGTTTTACCCATACATTATGTAAAGCTGGAGGAGGAGCTGAAGAATAAGATAATAACGATAATATCAATGTCAGAAATTACATTACAGATGTTGTTAGAAATTTAATGACTTACTTCTAACTTGTACATTAATCCTAGTCTTGACAGCATCGTGATCATCATCTAAGGTGCATGAATAGTTCCCAGCATCATCCGCGCTAACATTGATAAGTTCCAAAGCTCCATTAGACTCAACCTTTAGTCGTCCAATTTGTTCATCCTCGCGTCCCTCTCTTATCCACAACACTCCAATAGTTCCACCTGACTGTGGTAGTGCATCTTCTTCTGCACAAGGTAAAGTCAAGTTCTGACCAACGTCTACAGCGACAAAATGCACTGGCACCAAAGTTACTGCTTCCTGCCATGCTAGAAATCATAACAAGGCCTTTAACTACCATAATTATATACAATACATACGTTAAGAATTAGAATAATCTTATTATACAAATAATCAAATTTTATATAAAAAGTTATACAACGTAAAAGCATTAAAACTCTACATAATAAAACTTGTTTAATTATCGCATAAGATTTAGTTATAGAAGAAATAATAATGAAAAAAAAATTGTTCGAAGTCGTCGACATACCAAACAGCTAATGTATATTAAAATGGTACAGGTAGCGTGTAGATTCGCAACTGTCAAATCATATTTCAAATGAAAAAGCGAAAGTGAAAGAATCGTTTCGGATGAGACAGGTATGCCAGTCGCGACGCACAGTTTATGTGCCCGTATGTTTACGGCGTGTTGAACACGGTTCTGCATAAACAAACCGTACATCCCGTACGCGAATTAATCGACTATATATACATTGCACAGGTACGAGTGACATGCGTCTGATAGATCGAGTACGAAAATATAGAATCGACGTTCTACCGATCAATGGACTCGCCGGAACGCTAGAGCTTGGATCTCCGCGGGTCAGATCGGAGTGTGTGTGTGGAAAAAAACAAGATACTTAGTGAAATTTGCATAACTCGACCCTGAATCGTAACGATCGTGTACTTAGCCCGATTCGCACGGTGTACGTATCCAAGCGCACGAGCACCGAACGAACGGTCGGTGTGTCACATTGATCGGCAGGTGCGCTCACGGCTGAGCGAATCTCTCCTCTCTCTTTCTATCTCTCGGTTGCTCACCTGCCAGGAAGAGTATCAGCGTGAGAATTCTATGCCCAGCCATTCTGCCATATTAGACGGTCTTGCGTGGATGTGTACGGAGACGCGTTAAGGATCTCTTCGTGGCCGCATCTTTGACATCGATCTTATTTTCTGCTTTTGAGAGAGCCACGGTACGCGGGAGCTGTCAAACTCATCACGCTTCGCGGAACACCGCCCGTCCGGCGCTCTTTGGATTTTATTGAGTTGCCTAAGCCGCGCTCTCGCGGCGACGCTGCGAACACGGTCGGAAACAGGGCCTGCAACTGCAACCCCACCGAGAACAAATGTAGCAACAGCTGTTCCGATAGCGAACGCCGTTCCCGTCACTCGATACCCAAAAATTTCTTCGCATACACTCGAAAATTGAGAAACATCTGACCCCTGTACGCGCTCCTAAAAAAATCCACGAAACATTCTTTTAAGTAGGATTTATCTAGAGCCGAGTTAGCTCGATCGTTTCGCTCTTCAAAATATGAAATTACGAACTAGACCGAACTGGTTAAATTAAACAAACAAGTCGCTACCCAATCATAGAGAATTCAAGGATTTCGCGAGGAGCGTACGGGGGGGTTAATAGACAGCTTCGATTAACCGTCGTAGTGTTTGAATTCTTCGATCGATCTCGTCGATTTAAATCGTTGCAACGCATATTGCGATATTTCAGCAATCTATCGAATCACGATAGCGATACAGCGATGCATTGAATGGTGCAACATTCGTTTCGTCGGAAGATGAACAGTACGTATCAAGCCATTCGATCGAGTAAGAGCCATTGAATACGATATTGTCGTTTTAATAGAACAACATAAACGATTCAATGATTTTACAATTTGAAACGAAGCTTCCGATGATTCGCGGGATGCGATTTCACGCGTCGTTATCGAGATTCAATTTTATCCCGCTCGAAGTGCCGAAGCATCGCACTGCGACGCTGCGAAATCAGTGCGATCAGAAATCAGGGCCTGCAACCGCAACGAAAACAAACGTTAACAGCTGTCCGGGTTATGTTATGGTACGCGCGTCAAATAACAAACGAACGTTCGAAGAACGAGGAAGATGTTTTCATCGATAGGCTCGGTTATCGGTGCGCCAGTAATCCTTGTCGTCTGATCACGATAGCCCGAAAAATCTAGAAATTACTAGTTACCTTGTTAAATTGGATCACTGCACACGCGGGAACGAGTGCATCGATACTCGCACCGTAGAACTGGTTGAATCTGCTTTACTGATTGAGGAAGAGCCGTTCTATATCTTTCTCTCTGTCTCTGTCAGGATTAACTAGACAAAAACGATAGACACCTCGCAATGGGATAATCGCGGTAGTTGCGTATGATTGCTGGTGCGTGTGTGCGTGCATACGTGATACACCATTGTACCAGAGAACCAAGGAAACAAAGAGAACTGATTGAGTCCTGACGACGGATCGGTATGTATGTGCATGCACGCGACAAACGTAACGTGATCGATTTGTTTTTTCAAACAATTTAGCAGTCAGATCTATTGCCAACTACGTGTTTCCGGTTATACAAAAACGCCGGCCACATAGAGAAGATTATCTATTTTCATGCATCGAGCATATCCTGGTTTTATGTAACTATCGGGTAGTCCTTTGTCCGTTTTACACGGAAAAACGTACAGTGGGCCACAAAAGTGTTCGTCTCCACGCAGACGGTACATGCACATTGATTCGGTTTAATTTCATTGATTTTCTTTTCTTTTTGTACATAGGATTTTTGTACGTCGTTGTTACACACCTGGCTGAACTGAAATTCATAGCCGACGGAATTCGATGTGCACGAATTTTGCTGGAATTTCATTGAATGATTACAAGAGCACAAGAGATCCGAATTGAATAATCGTCGTTCCTTGTGTGCGAATATTTTTGCATGTACTCTATATCCGTGTACAGTAAGGGGAAGAAGTGTACGTGCGTCGCGCCGGTGTGTCAGCTTCAATCGACGATACTATTTTATTTATAAAGTTCAACGTTATTATGGTCACAGGCTGCAAGTCAATACAAAATTACGTTCTCGCAGAATAATCTGATAGAAATAATTCCTAGTTTAATATTATCCTGTTTGGAACAGCAGTGGCATTTGAAAGTAAGATTCTGCGACCAGATTATGCTGGTCACGTTTACTGTGCATCTATTGTAGTTGATTTTAAGTTAGTCACAGATGACGTTCTTTTGTTTCTTGCAAAATAATATTCAATTCTTGGGTGTATTTAAAGATCGTCAGTTTCTTTGAACATTCGACGATGCTTTAAAAGTATGCGTCACAGTGTTTAGTATTCTTCAGTAGCTTAAATCTGTTCAAGTAACAGCGATATTCTTTGGACCTCGTCATTTCCCAGCTGTCCATATCGCGACTTTTCTTCTGCAATTTATTTGTATCCTTTTTTCATTCCCCTCTTCTTTTTCGACCGATAGAAAGTCGAATCGTTGGTTCAAGATGCAGTTCAAGATTAGCGGAAGATGAACCAAGGTGTCATTGAACAATCAAGGGAAAATGTTACGGCGACAAATGTTTGCGGCGTAGGCTATCAATTTATCGAAATGACGGCCCATTGTCATCGTAATGTATTATTATTCGGGGGGAGGGTTTGAAGAACCCCGCTGTGCACCTGACGGCGCGGCGCGCGCCCCACTCGCCGTTCTCCATCTTCGTCTATGTGACGTAACCAGTGACGTCAACCAATTGGGTGATCGATCGAATTTGAACTTCGAGGGTACAAACTTTTACTTTTTGCGGCCGCCGCGCCGCGATTAATCGCCTAATGGTGCACTAATAATTCGACAATTAAACATTATCTGCCATCGAGCAAAACTGTCCGAACCATAACCGCGGATTAACGCGTCGAACGTTGATCTTCAAAATAACAACGTATTCTATAAAAGGATTGAATTGCGTCACTCCCCGCATTTATCTTCTAAGATCTAAAATATCAATTGCATTTGCATTGTTCGTCGATCGCAGCATTCGCGTTTCGAAAGTTCGTGCGGAACCATGCTCCGCCATTTGCAAAAATCTGAGGCGGGAAAGACGTTCGTGTTTAAACCGCGAATCTGTACGCGCGTCACTGCAACGAACATCAATTATGCAAAGCACATTTTGCGTTTTAAACGCAACAACAAATATGTAACATTCGTAGTTACGAATGAAATTAACTCTAGTTATCGATTCGCTTATCGAAACGGTGGATCACGTATTCCACGCTTTTCTAATTAATTCCAACACGATCAGCCGATGCGTCGGCTAATCCGCTGCCGGTGACCTCCTTGCCATTTAAATTACACAATCTATAAATCGCTTAATTACACCGCGGTCCCGGGTGGCCTTCGTCACAGTTAACTTACGGAATTTCTTAGTCACCGCGCGGTCATCCGCCAGTCACCGGCGGCATCCCCGGCGGCATCCCCGTCCACAGCAAACAGAAGAAGAAGTCGATAATTAAACGTATTGCCGCACGGTCACCGACGACTCGCACATGCCGTCGAGTCGAGAGCGCCGGTCACCGGTGACCCCGTTGTCACCGGACGCATTAATTCGATTCGTTTTTTACCTGATGCGCCGCTCGTTAAGCTTATCGCTCATTAAGCAACCCCCGAGACTCGGGCACAAGAATAGCGGCCACGACGCAGCTCAATGTCAGCGTATAACCCGGCCCGCCGATAATGAACCGTGAAAGCAGGTAACGCGAGGCAGTCATACGATAGCGGGTAATCAGGGTAATATAATCCTCTTATAGAATTTGTACCGCGAGTCAATATACATATATGTATATCGGCGGGTTCGGCGAACTCTCCGCGGCTGTTAGTCCCGGAAAACCGTGTGTCTAAAAATAATTGATCGATACCTTTTCAGGTGTGTGTGTATATGTCCCGGCGTACTTTTTCCGTCTCTCGTTGCCCAAGAAAAAACGCTGGATCGCGGACCTGTAGATCAGAGAGCCTCGCACCTGCCGCCCCCCCCCGGCCACCCCCGTTCAATTGGAATCGAAAATCGGTCCGGTTCCCAGCCGTGAGAACGGTTCGGCAGCGCGAGATGTATGCAGTTTTCCAGACACGAACAGAGGAACTGACAGACACACGGTGCAGCTCGTGCCTGACATTTTGGTACCTGGCCGCCGTAGGTGTAACATGTCCCGGTGCAGATTATGCGTTTCGCGGGGGTGGCGCGCGCGGCGAAGCAAATTGGGCCTTGATCCAATCTTTCGACCTATCAACGGCAACCGGCGCGACCGAATGTAAGCGCAACATTTTCAAAGAGCCGCCGCCGCCGCCGACGCGGTCTCGCTCCAGTTTCGAGGAATTTATCGATCCCGGAAGACTGCAGGTCTAGAGCCTAGGCGATCCACCGCTCGTAATAAGGCGATTTGCTCTCGCCGAGTGTCCCCGTCGTATTCTTGCCACGGGGAACTCGCCCCGTATTTTACGAACGTTCCCCGTGGATGAAGAATTTTTATGAAACTACGCCCAAGCATTCGCGGCGGGTCGCCGAGGAGAGAGAGCTGCATCCGCGCGCTCGGCTTTCCGCGGATTACTTCCTGGAGAAATATTATGGATAGTTTTCGGTGGCTCGAATAAATTAAGAAGAAGCGGCGCCGTTTCTATCGTACTCCTACGACGAGGAATCCTCCGAATACGAATATGCGACCGGTGAAATCAGGATATGTGCGAGTAAACGCAGGATACGTGCCAAAAAGGACAGCGTTGAATCGGCGCCGCGCGAATGCTTTCTCGGTCACGAGTTTTCTCTCGTCGATCCTCAAATTTCATTATTCTCGAGCAGCGAATTAGCAACCGATTCTAGGCCCAGGTCTCTAAGAAACTCGGTCCTCGAGCAAGAAAACGAGACGTTCGAGCGCGTTCGCAGGAATAAAGTATACGAAGGCAACGAGGCGAAGACTCGCCGGCGAGGAAAAGAAAATGGAGGGCTCGTAAAACGCAAATTGCGCGAGAGACGAAGGAATTTCGGAGGATCGATTCGATGGACATGCTAACGTGATTTCGAGTCTTTGTATCCGCCGTCCAATTACATTTAAATTGGAGCATTTGCTGAAAGGGGAGGCTGGGGGCAGCGGGTGGGGGGAAAAAAAGTTTCTATCGACCTAGTTCCTTGCTTCGCCACGCGGATTCCTAATTTGGTTCGGAGCCGAAGGATTTCCGTGGAACTTTCCAATTAATCCGTTCCCCGCCGCGATTTCGATGAAAAGAAGAAGAGAGCCGTCGCGACTTCACGGCCGAGAAGTTTCTTGAATATCTTCTTCTTCTTCTTCTTCTTCTTCTTTTTTATCCGGCTTTTGTATCTACACTTGATTTCGGCCGGATGTTTGGCTGCCGGAAAGCCGTATGTACCTACGGGCACCTAGGCCAGGAGAGGGTGGAAACTTCGACCCGTCCTCTCGAAATGTCAAAGGTTGCCGCGCAAGGCGCATCGACGTATCCTCGTTTTCCAGGAGCCAGACGAGCCCATCGATCCCATTGTTCCTGCTCTATCGTCGGCGAATAATTATCGTCGAATCCTTTCTGCGTCTCGCTTAATCGTTCCACGGGCCTCCGCGCCTCCGGGGGCGCGCGTCCCCCAAAAATAGAGTTCAATTTTCCCGAACGATTTCTATAGGGACGGGAAATTATTCTCCTCTTCGCGCCGGCGGAGGAATTCGTCCGTGACGAACATTTTTGGCAATGTTTTAGGTCGTGAAACGACCCTGTTCTGTAATGAGTGTAGACGTTTCTTAAAAGCATGAGCGACCATCGCTTTTCTGCATTCGGATACGATTATACGTATTTGGGCAATATTAAGCTATACGTTCGTGTTAAATATTATTTTTATATAGAATTTGCACGAACGATAAACTGGAGAGTAATTAATATTTTCAGAGGCAACATCGAACGATTGCGAAGCTTCCGTGGAAATCTTTGGATGCCTTGAAATTAATGTACCGCCAGAAATGAATGTTTGTAGTACAGTCATTTCTCTCTAATTGTGACGCTCAGATTGCGCACAAAAATGGACGATTTGTGAAGAGGAGATACGATTATTATTATTATTATTATTTTCGTTTTTATAGTCGTCAACAATTGGTAACTATAAAAGCGAGTCGCGAGGCTCGAATAATCGTATCTCCTCTTCCCAAATTATTTATTAATTATATTAATTATTATTATTACTATTAATTATTATTTCCCAGTTTTGCGCGCGATCTGAGCGCGAATTAGAGAGAAATCACTGTAACGCAAGGAGATTGCAATTCCATATCCGAGCTCCGCGATATTTATTTAACGAAACGGATCGCTTTCATCTCGCGGAATTTTTCAGATTATCTGCAGGAATTCCGAGCTAGTTGAATCGCGGAGATTCCCCGAAGTTACGGGGTATCTTTCGCCGCGGCGTATCAAAGTCGGTAAACATTTAATGCCGGCCGAGGGAGGGGCGTTGAAGTTCCATTTCTCTCGACACATTCATCCTCGACGGTAACGTTCCAAGTTCGCGATGGGGCACTTCGAACTTCTCCTCGACATTATCGAGCAATTTCCTCGCTGGAAGCTCTGCCGGGCATTCGTTTAAACATTTTTACGGCTGTCGCGAGGCTTGAAGTTCAAGGGGCACGATACCCGGTATACTCGGCTATCCAAAGTAAAGAATAAGACGGAAACAATGGCCGAGATAAGCGTATCGTCGTCGCCGGGAATGGAAGATCGCGGAGTTTCATTGCGCGTGAGGAAAGCATCGCGGCGAGGCGATATTAATTCCCGGAGGGACCGCTCCTTTGGCAAATGTTCGATCGCGCGGCCAGCTTGAATGGAAACAGAGTAATTAATATCTCGGCGTTTCATGGATTCCGCGCGGTTTACGTTGCCGTGCGCGCGCGAGTTTCTGCGGATGTTTGCTGATCGAGCAAAGTAGAAACTCCCGCATCGGAGATTAGAGGAGTTCCGGGTTAGGTAGAAGGTCAGTCGGTGATTTCCAAGGACTTCCGAGTCCCCAAAGGTCACGAGGAACCGTTCAGCGATCCCTTCGGGTATCGCGTTCTTCGACGTCCATTAACGATTTAGGCGTGGCAGAGTATGGCGGCGATCTTTTGTAGCGATCTCACAGATGATCACGGGACGCGAGAAATGTGGTCGACGATTTTTCCTGAACAGCAAGAGCTGAAGCTTCCGACGAAGAAAGAAACAGCTTTCCGCTCGTCGAATCGGCGAGAAATGATAATCGCGATTGATTTTGGACCGCCTCGCGTTCCGGAACCATTGAATAAACATTTCCCGAGCTTCGTCGTTTTTTCTCGAGGCAACGCGCAAGTTTGAGAATGCAAGGGAATGCGCGGACGAACTGAAATTAAACGCGACGCTTTCAGATTCTTCGAGAATGACGAGAATTTGCATAGAGTGCCGGCGGTTCGTGTACGAACGGGGGGAGGGGTTGGAGATGGAATTGCAGAATAAGCATCGAACACGGTTCGAACTTCTTTTTTTTCCACTCTGGAAGTCGCCGAGTCGATGGGGAAAACGGGATCGCGTTTACCGCGAGCAAACATCATTTTCATCGATTCCTAATCCGACGAGACGCAATAAATCAGCCCTCAAGGACTGCAAATATTTGGACAGATTATTACGCCTTGGGTTCTGGGATTAAAGTAAGAAAGCCGGGGGATCGTTCGATTCTTTCTCTTTCTTCGAAAACCTTTCTGCGGCGGACAGCGCCGTTCCTGTGTTATTCGCGAATACATATAATTCAGCGCCCGGCACGGGAACGCCGCGGAAATTACCGAATGACGCGAAACAACAATTGCGCTCCAACAATAGAGCCGGAGGAACGGAGTAGAAGTCGAGAATAGACTGTCGATGGAGTTCGTTCGATAAGTGCTTCGCCGCTACAACCGTGCAGAACTGAAATCGGTCGGAGCTATAACCGTGGAACGAATGTAACGGGAGATAGAAATATTGCGCGTTTTTAAAATAAACAACCACCGGCCGCGGAAAAGGGAATTTAATCCGCTCGGATTTCTTAATTTCTCTACTTCTAGATTTTCGCTCGATAACATCCTTGGCACACGGATATTTAAAGAGAAAAATAATTTAACAATATTCAAACATTTTTATATTATTCGTATTTGCTTCTTTCGATTCTTCTGCTTCGAGATCGATTACGATCTTCTCACTGGACTCGATACAAATGGTTAACGATTCGTGTAACCGGTCATTGGAATACTGAATTGGATCTATTTAAATCTTTACTGGTCGATCTTGTCGCATACAGTAATGTCTCTCTAATCGACGCTCAGATTGTCCAGAAAAATGGACAATTTCGGAAGAGAAGATACGATTGTTCGATCCTCGTGGTTCATTCTCATAGCTACGAATTGTCGGCAACTATAAAAAAACGAGCTGCGAGGCTCGAACAATTGTATCTCCACTTCACAAATTGTACATTTTTCTGCGCAATCCGAGCGTCAGTTACGGAGACATTATTGTAGTCGCGAAACAAGACAACGGGACGAAGTAAGATCGTCGGCTGAGCAAACAGCTGACGATTCCGACTGACTGGCAGAAACTCGGATGCGCCGTTTCGTGTTCGTACACGGAAGAAACAGCATTCGACCTCGTCGAATTTTTGTGGTGCCGAGCCAGCGGCCGAACGCGTTAAATCATCGTCTGCCACGCGGATGAGAGTCCGTGTTCCTGTTAATTCGCGGCCCGTCGCCAAAAACTCCGGCGAAACGGCGGGAGCAAGAAGAAAAACTAATGAGACAATGATGTTCGCGGTGCCAGCCAGGATCGTGATATATGCGGGTTCGGACGGCTTCGTGTTTACTGGTTTCCACTGACCTCAGACAAGCCGGCGCTCCGATAAAATACATTTTCAGCCGCGCTGTCCCATTTATTCCGGCCGCACGTTTATCCGAGCGAGGTGTCCCGTCGCCATTAATCATCCGACGATAGAAATTCACGACGAACAGCCGATAACACTTCCGCGCGAGATCGCCGGATTGATCGGGCACGATCGAACTTTCCGCCGCGGCTTCTACGACGCGGCTTTCGCAACGTTACGACGCGACGCGTCCGTTAACGAGAGAATCGCGACGGAAATCCGACTTCTTCGTAATCGTTCACGATAATGATTTTTTCTGTACTCACTGGCTTTTTTGCGGTGCGCCGATTTTCCCCGCGGGACTCAGGTGGGAACCTCGTGGCGAATAAAAGCGGAACAGCCGGAAGATCGCTATAAATACCGCTGATTCGCGAACGTCATGGGAGCCGCATTCGTGCACCGGAAGCACGAGTCCGTCGCGGAACAGACATAACTCGGATCCTAATTTTCCGATCTGTCCGGGACGGGCTGTCGTAACAAAAGCGATCGAGCTATTCGAACGGACCGAGCGACGTTCAAGATGTTGTTAGTTCACTTCGTTCGCAGCCAGCGATCCGTATTANCGCTCCAACAATAGAGCCGGAGGAACGGAGTAGAAGTCGAGAATAGACTGTCGATGGAGTTCGTTCGATAAGTGCTTCGCCGCTACAACCGTGCAGAACTGAAATCGGTCGGAGCTATAACCGTGGAACGAATGTAACGGGAGATAGAAATATTGCGCGTTTTTAAAATAAACAACCACCGGCCGCGGAAAAGGGAATTTAATCCGCTCGGATTTCTTAATTTCTCTACTTCTAGATTTTCGCTCGATAACATCCTTGGCACACGGATATTTAAAGAGAAAAATAATTTAACAATATTCAAACATTTTTATATTATTCGTATTTGCTTCTTTCGATTCTTCTGCTTCGAGATCGATTACGATCTTCTCACTGGACTCGATACAAATGGTTAACGATTCGTGTAACCGGTCATTGGAATACTGAATTGGATCTATTTAAATCTTTACTGGTCGATCTTGTCGCATACAGTAATGTCTCTCTAATCGACGCTCAGATTGTCCAGAAAAATGGACAATTTCGGAAGAGAAGATACGATTGTTCGATCCTCGTGGTTCATTCTCATAGCTACGAATTGTCGGCAACTATAAAAAAACGAGCTGCGAGGCTCGAACAATTGTATCTCCACTTCACAAATTGTACATTTTTCTGCGCAATCCGAGCGTCAGTTACGGAGACATTATTGTAGTCGCGAAACAAGACAACGGGACGAAGTAAGATCGTCGGCTGAGCAAACAGCTGACGATTCCGACTGACTGGCAGAAACTCGGATGCGCCGTTTCGTGTTCGTACACGGAAGAAACAGCATTCGACCTCGTCGAATTTTTGTGGTGCCGAGCCAGCGGCCGAACGCGTTAAATCATCGTCTGCCACGCGGATGAGAGTCCGTGTTCCTGTTAATTCGCGGCCCGTCGCCAAAAACTCCGGCGAAACGGCGGGAGCAAGAAGAAAAACTAATGAGACAATGATGTTCGCGGTGCCAGCCAGGATCGTGATATATGCGGGTTCGGACGGCTTCGTGTTTACTGGTTTCCACTGACCTCAGACAAGCCGGCGCTCCGATAAAATACATTTTCAGCCGCGCTGTCCCATTTATTCCGGCCGCACGTTTATCCGAGCGAGGTGTCCCGTCGCCATTAATCATCCGACGATAGAAATTCACGACGAACAGCCGATAACACTTCCGCGCGAGATCGCCGGATTGATCGGGCACGATCGAACTTTCCGCCGCGGCTTCTACGACGCGGCTTTCGCAACGTTACGACGCGACGCGTCCGTTAACGAGAGAATCGCGACGGAAATCCGACTTCTTCGTAATCGTTCACGATAATGATTTTTTCTGTACTCACTGGCTTTTTTGCGGTGCGCCGATTTTCCCCGCGGGACTCAGGTGGGAACCTCGTGGCGAATAAAAGCGGAACAGCCGGAAGATCGCTATAAATACCGCTGATTCGCGAACGTCATGGGAGCCGCATTCGTGCACCGGAAGCACGAGTCCGTCGCGGAACAGACATAACTCGGATCCTAATTTTCCGATCTGTCCGGGACGGGCTGTCGTAACAAAAGCGATCGAGCTATTCGAACGGACCGAGCGACGTTCAAGATGTTGTTAGTTCACTTCGTTCGCAGCCAGCGATCCGTATTATTAACCGGTTAGCCGTGGCGCTGCCTTTTCGCAATTTATACTGCGGAAAATACGAATGTATGCTAAATGAATTGCGAGAACGATTTAGAGTTCGTTCGACGCACGTTCCAATCAAAATTGTGTTCGTCACTCGGAAATCGTTCGATAAGCGATAAGCGACGTCACGGATACCGCTGAAGTCTGACGTCTCCGTGACGAATGGAATTTATCTGGCGGATAAAAGAAAATTTCTCCGACGTGCCACGCACGCGAAGCTACGTTCAAAGGAACAATAGCGGGCGAGGGGCTGCGTGACAAAAGCCGCGTAACCGATCCGACGGCCTTAAACGCGAGTCTCTCGTTTCGCGTAGAATGATTTGAAATCAGCGACGATCTCGCCGCAGAAGCGTAGAAATATGTTGCACGATGTTGTCGGTTCTTTCTCGAGGGTTGAAGATCCAATTTCCGGTTTCCCCGTTGGGCAAAACGAACGTTTTAATTAACCGAGCATATCGGTCGCGGAGAAATGAAATCCTTCGCGTGACTAATGGTATCTCGAGCGACGAGTCATGGAGAAGATTCTTGAAGATAATTAAAGGTACGAGAGATTCCGCAATCTTCTAATCGGTAGGATTGAGATATCTGTTGACAGGCCGCAGATATTTATGCTTACGTAAATTTCGAAAGTACGAGGAAACGCGCGCACTCGATATTCTTATTTTTATCACGATATTTTACAGCGACATTTTATTGGACGAACGAAGGAATTTTCCAATTAGCATAAAGATCTGCAGCCCGCGTATCGAGCTCGCTAGCTTTAGAAAAATGACAAACAAATCATTTATCCGAAGCGAAAACACGTGCCGCGCTTATATTTAGTTGAATTAATCAGCAAGATTGACATTAAAAGATTGCTTTATCGCTGCTTCGTCGTATCGCTATTCGGCTTTCCAAGGCCAGCAATCCGAACCATTTTCATCAAAGCCTCTCCTCGCTCGGCGTAAAATTCCGAAAGCTCGGGTTCCAATTGCATTCGCTTCATCTGCGTCCGCTGCATAACCGAGCTCGATAATCCGAGTGTCTCGCCGTCAGACGCGTCCACGTGACTCCAAAGTCCTTTCCAGGCAAGAATGCATCGAGCACGCTATCGTCGAACAATGTTTACACCGAGGGTCACGAGCGTCGCCTTGAAACGCTGTACGGAAGAAGGGCGACTCCGCTCGGCAGGAGCCCGCCCGCTCCCTTAGAATTCACTTTGGCGACGATTCGCGATACTTGGATCCTCTCCAAGGCGATTCGTCCTTCAACTGGATGCCTCGCTCCGTTCGCGAGGAAGTTCTCTTATTCCTGTGCGATTGCTCGCGCCGGAAAGATAGGAGATGGGAAATCTCGATACAGAGGAGACGTCCGTCGTTTCGCCTCCGAGGACGGCTCTTGCAAAAAGAACCGATCCAAGCCGGACTGCCCGGAACCGGTGAAAGAGTTCGATCCTGAAGATCAATGCACGAAGTGTCCTCCCTCGAATCTTGCGCTGTCCGGCACACCGAAGATCACGGGTCCTTGCGTGGATCCTGTTCCTTGTCCTTGCGTCGATCCTGCTCCGGCTCCTTGCGCGGACTCCATTTCGGTTCCTTGTTGCGCGGCTGCTGCGAAAACCGAGAGATCGAAGAAGTACTGTTCTGCGAATATCTGGGATTGTTGTTCTCCCATAGGTAAATATGGACCGCAGATTTCTACCGCGAAAGACACGTTTCTCTTAACTAACAGTTAAGAATACAGTAAATTCTCCCTGACAATTTGGGAATTTTGGGAAGAGGAGACACGATTGTTCGAGCCTCGCACCTCCGTGCTTATAATTGTTGATTAATCTCGCAAATTATTCTCTATTTTTGTGTACACTCGGAGCGTGTGTCGATTGCGGAGCATTTGCTGTACTTCTTTTCTGTTTAATCTACCGAAATGATCGTCCGTCGATTTAATTTCCAGGCGATCGATGCTTTTCTCTTATCTACGTATTCTCCTGCATTTCTATCAGTCGAGTCACAAATAGTTTTCATTGTTGAGAATAGATGGTAACGCATTTATCTCCGTGCTGATCCGTCATTCCCGAGGCATCCGATAACGGTAACAAGCCTGTCGATTAATGAAATTGATACACCGAAACCGAGATCAACTGTATTTTATACATTTAAAACGAAAACCAACGAAACTTGGAAAGATTCGAATAGCCGAAGGATCGACTTCCGAATGTTCTCGGCGAAAGAAACAAATTTTTCCTTGGCTTCCGTAGAAAGATCCGGTCGAGAAATTATTTATGGCTACGACGGTATTTCCTCCGTATATTTCGCCTTAATACTCTACACATATATCGGCGTTTCTCGGCGAATGTCTTCGTCCGGGAATTTTTGTGGGTCAGGTAGATAAAATGCGTCACGCGTTATCACCGATGCTCCCGATAATCGATAATTCAACTGTTACGCTGCCCTCGCCGGGGGGGCACTTTTCTCCCCTCGGCTGCACTTTCACGAAAGTGTTGAATAACATTCGTAAGTGACGCGCGGAGATAGCATATCTGATAAAAGCCCCGCCAGAAGTATCAGCTGTATCGAAGGATCGCGAGATCGGCATGGCTCTCAGTTCTCGTGCGTCTAACAATAACGGTGCGTTGGTTTCTCTGCGAGCACAGACACGTCGCAGGAGAAGCTCTGGCAGTGTCTGTCGCTTTTCATCGGGATTCCGGCGGTGCTTATCTACTCCCTCGTCTATTGGACGCATCTGAAACACAAGAAATGTCAGCCAAGGCAGGAGTTCGTCGAGTACCCGTATTTGCGGATAATGAGAAAGGTGTGCCATTTTTTTGTCCACTTCATTGCAGCGCGCCCTGTTCCTCGAAATTCGAGGCTGCTGAAACGTTAGTCTTGGAAAATGTTTTTTTTTTGTCAAAGATCGCGTTAATTTAATGGGGGACACAGAGCGTATGGTAAATTATCCCTAATCGATGCTCAGCTTGGAAACAAAAATGGATAATTTGAGAAGAGGAGCTTTTATTCTATATATATTTATTATATATTATTTTATTCTATATATATTATTATATATTATTATATATATTATTTTATTCTATATATATTATTATATATTATTATATATATTATTTTATTCTATATATATTATTATATATTATTATATATATTATTTTATTCTATATATATTATTATATATTATTATATATATTATTTTATTCTATATATATTATTATATATTATTATATATATTATTTTATTCTATATATATTATTATATATTATTATATATATTATTTTATTCTATATATATTATTATATATTATTATATATATTATTTTATTCTATATATATTATTATATATTATTATATATATTATTTTATTCTATATATATTATTATATATTATTATATATATTATTTTATTCTATATATATTATTATATATTATTATATATATTATTTTATTCTATATATATTATTATATATTATTATATATATTATTTTATTCTATATATATTATTATATATTATTATATATATTATTTTATTCTATATATATTATTATATATTATTATATATATTATTTTATTCTATATATATTATTATATATTATTATATATATTATTTTATTCTATATATATTATTATATATTATTATATATATTATTTTATTCTATATATATTATTATATATTATTATATATATTATTTTATTCTATATATATTATTATATATTATTATATATATTATTTTATTCTATATATATTATTATATATTATTATATATATTATTTTATTCTATATATATTATTATATATTATTATATATATTATTTTATTCTATATATATTATTATATATTATTATATATATTATTTTATTCTATATATATTATTATATATTATTATATATATTATTTTATTCTATATATATTATTATATATTATTATATATATTATTTTATTCTATATATATTATTATATATTATTATATATATTATTTTATTCTATATATATTATTATATATTATTATATATATTATTTTATTCTATATATATTATTATATATTATTATATATATTGAGAAGAGGAATATATATTATTATATATTATTATATATATTATTTTATTCTATATATATTATTATATATTATTATATATATTATTTTATTCTATATATATTATTATTATATATAAGAGGAGCGATTATTCCAGCCTTGCGGCTCGTTTTTATAGTTACCGATTGTTAACAATCGTATCTTTCCTCCCCAAACTGTCTATTTTTGTGTACAAGCGGAGCATCGATTAGGGAGAATTTACATTAATCGACACCAGAATGACGAGAATCGTCGGAAAGACATTTCGCCGAACGCATTGGTTTCTCCGGATTCTGAAATCTTTACGCAACGAGTTTCCTGAACCTGTCGTAAGAAACAGAAGCCATGCATGTGCGAACTTTTCTTCTGGAATCCTTCAAGTAGGTCGTACCGCGCGTCGATACTCTTTACATTCTTACGATCTCTAGAAAAGCTACATGTTTATTTAACCGAACGAAGTTCGGAGAACTTTTATTTTGCATCCGCGGTCCAGCGGCGATTCTCCGTAGTAGCCCCGGTGTTAACTGTTACGAAACACGGAGCAAAAGTTTTGCGCCATTTATCATCCCCGCAGTAAATCCCAATTTCCGGGAACCGTGGCCCAGTTTCAGGAAGATACAGCCGGTAGTTTCCAATTATTTCCGACCAAAAGCACGAGCTTTGCCGATTCTTCGGCGCGACGGGCCCGTCCGCGCGTCGTTAATCCATCTACACGTTGCCCGCGATCGATTAACGAAGTCTTACGGATCCGTTCATCGTCGCCGCAAGAATTCCGTGTTTCCTTATCGTGTCTCTCTCCGTTTCCTCTAACTCGGTTTCCCTCGCCGTCGACGGTCCCGTTCCCGTTCCGACGATACTACATTTTTGTTTCTCCCGATCGTTCGGTCCGTTGTTCCTTACGATTGTTTTATAAATATTCTCTTTCGACAGCCTTTCCCATGGGGCGACGGCAAGCACTCCCTTTTCCACAACCCTGAAAAAAATCCGATATCTCCGCACGGGTACGAGGCGCCGGACCCATGCGAATCGAAGACCGGCGAATGTAAAGATTGACGCGACGGAGGAAAAGCCGGCGGCCGTCGTTCTAAATTCAGTGGCCAGCGAGATGTAAACCGAACCGGTATTATAAACTCCAGGCCCTCGACTGTTTAATTTTTCGTCGGATCCGACATGCCTCGCGATTCTATTTTCCGCCGGCATTTGCCCTCGGATATCCGAACAAGTTGTACGCGACGATTACTTCCATTTTCTTCAGAATCATTCAAGAAGAAGCCGTGAAAATCTATTACTGATTTACGAACGTGATTGCTGTCGCTATTGAAAACGGTTTATTAAAGAGCCTTCGAACACGTGTCGTTGATTTCTGCAGGTTTATTGAGTTGCCCGACCAATGATACCTGATTTTTCTCTTCTGTTCATAATTCAATGTTCTCGGAGAAGTCTCAATTTTGTACCGTTTTCAAGGGAAACGTCGCACCGTAAAATATCTTAATAAGTCGTGTAAAAATATTTCACACAGAAGATAAAATAAATTACGGAAATTGTAGATGGCTACTTCGCATGGCTTCAAAGCGAGACCGCTTTCATCGTCGTACGATTGCTTCTTTACAAAATTACGACAGTTCGAATGCGACGATCGTAATGAATCGGAAGTTTCCTGGTGCCAGTTCGTTCTAAAATGTCTTATTGAAAGCAGCTGCAATTGGAGGATGATGCAACCGCCGGTGTGTAGCCCAAGACCTTTACGTGGCACCTGCTGACCCAAGTGCGACTTAAATAAGCTTCTCACGCGAGGGAAAAATTCTCGAACAGCATCTGTACAAGTTGATCAGTTTACGTTAAATTATGGATACGCATATGAAGAATATGTAGTTAAGAACCAACGGAGTCCCAGATATATTGTGTATTAAAATTTGATAAATACCGTAGAATATTAAAAATCTTCATTAGCCCTCTGGATCAGCTGAAAGGTGTAATAACACAGCAGGCTCGTTAAGTCCTCCAACTTGCCACTTGTTCGTCTTAACGACGTCTCAAGAATAGTTGCAGATGTTTGTATCTCACGGCGGGCAATCGCGATGCCAAGTTCCTTTTCCGTGGGTTTAACAGGCGGATCCTCGAAGCTGGAAGGTCAACGTTGAACGAGTCTCTCTCTCTCTCCCTCTCCTCTTCCCATCTCCAAGAGAATTCTCTCCTTTGCGTCACGTGCATAAATTCTAATGTGGTTTGACGTCACGGCGACGTTTGTGCCAGCCGTGACGAACCGGAGCAACACGGAGCTCGCTGCTCACAAAGGGCCCAATCCTCTCGGAACCGCGGAATCAGCCGCGAAAACCGCCGGCCATCGCGATTCCATAGCGGCGTGCCGTCTAATTAGCGGTCGGAGTTAATTGAATGATCCCGCCCCGGCCAATAAGATCGCGGACCACGGGCACGCCTTGATACCGGGATCGAAACCTCTGAATGGATTTGCCGACCTTGCGTACCCTTCGTGTCGACAATTTACATTTCCAGTCGACGTTCTTTGCTCGATTATGTACAGGATTAATTGAAGAGAGAAGATGATTGATATTCCAACGATCTCTTCGGGCATTTAGCGTCTGCGTCTTGGATCTCTGAACAAGAACAGGCTTGGATGTTTCTGTTCGTTTCGTTTGTTAATAACATTTATAATTTTCGATAAACTGACTTAGACAATTTTGTCGCCGTTGCTTCAAAGTTGTAAATTGCATGTGTAAATACGCGAGCAAAAGTTCAAATTGCTAAGTCGAGTCACATTCTCTTGCAATCATTTTGTTAAATATTGCCTAGAGATCGTGTAGAAATTCTTAAACGACGTTATAGGCTGATAGTTAATTAATTTTCGACGAGGACAAAATCGTATAAAATCTCTGTATGGATCAGTCGTTCTAGGTCTGTTCTGGAAGGACGATTTTTATTTCGTGGTGATCCGAAAGTGCGAGATCATTGAAACGATCCCGAGGCTTTTCACTCGGGACCAATATTTAGTTGGTCCCGCGTTCGAGTCTTTTGTGAGAATCAAACCGCGCTTGTCTATTCATAAAAATGTCCCTTGTATCGCGCCCCGACTCGCAAAAGGGAGAACGATATTTGCCATCCATCGAACGACCCCCGTCGCCGCTTTTGTGCCGAATCACAGGGAACGCCGTCGCCAACCTTCCGCGATCTCTGTCCTTTTGATAGGAGAATTTCATTCTTCTCTCTCGCCGCCAGTAACTCGGCCGAATTTCGCTGGCCCTGTACGTAACATTGTGGATCCAACCGCCGGGGAATATTCAGAAGGAGAGAGAGAAAGAGAGACTCTATCCGGCAGGTTGCTCTTCGCTAATGTCAAAGGTCAGTTTTCTTCATCAGCGACGCATACGCGCACCTCTACCAGAGCAGGTTACCTCGATACAAATTTCAACGCAACCTCGCACATTCTACCTGTTCAATTTGCCCGAATGCATTTCACCTTGCCGCATCGGCGTCTGATACCGCCGGTTTCATCATCCAGGTCTCATCAAATTAAGCCTTGCACTCTGTACCATATAACTGTGTTACTTTTTTCCTTCTTCTCCTTTGAACGAAGAAGGCCTTCAACTTTTTCCTGCGGCCAGGATTCAGATGTGCTTTGCATATTTGTACAGCGACGTACAGCATCTGCAAGACAAACATTTGCGGTTTCATTTGCGCCGTAATATTGTTCGAGGCATTAAAATGGCAGGTTAAATATCGCAGTGACTTTTCAAATACCTATCAGGACTGACCTTTCATATTTAAAAATGGCATATAAAACCTTCTATAAAAATGCTTTGTTTTCTCTGAAATGAAATGCTATTTTCACAGATACGTAAGTAATATCTATGTTTCTCTATGATCGGAACGAATCTCTATTGTAAAATTTGAACTTTAGAAGTCTACTATCTGTTCCAGTTTCAATGAATTCCATGGAATCGCAAGTAGGACGCGTCACGTCATTTAAATAATTCAGATAACAGCCGATTATCTACTAACGAGACCGGCAGTTTCTAATCTCACGCTATGCATGCGTTAGAACCGAAGAAATTTCAAACGAGGCCCGCGAGCACCTATTTTTACTTGTCACCGGCTACCGGCAATCCTCCCTCGGCCCTTACCAGGCTTCTTTCTCTCCTCTATAAAAAGACGATACTCGGAAAGGGCGTTTGAAAGCGGCGTCGAGCGAGAATAAACAAGCCTCGTCTTGCTCGTCCACTTCGGCGGCGAATGGAGTGCGGCTTTCCTGCTTGATCCTCGACGTCGGAGAGTGCCGGGTCACTCGAGACCCGAGCAACCATCCTTGAAGCAACAATGCTTCCTTTCACTCCGAAAATCCGTGTCCTCTTGCTTCCTGCGCGACAATATTCTTTAGAAACGGAAATGCGAAGGTCGGTCAATAAGAAAGTTACCCCCCCCCCCACCCTGTCTAACTTTTGTTAGAAAATTGATATTTAGGTGTCGCTAGCTGATTAAACACAGTTCCCTTGACGCACAGCAACTTTCATAAAGTATTAAATTGGCGCATTATGTGCAACAAGAATTTCCTTGCTAAATGTCAGTTCCTAAACGACAAACCTCTAGATAACTTATTGACATACAAATTAAATTGCTATTGGAAGCTCATTAAGAAATTGTGAGCCATTAGCTGGCGAGCAGTGAACATTTTAACCCTCTCACCATTAGTGCAATGAATAATTAATGAAGTACCGTAATCATGATAGAGCATTATTATGGTCCGGATAATGTGATGTGCTTTTAGGGGATCTTTGACTATACAAAATATAGGTCAAGTGTGGCGCATAGATTTTCTAAACGGGCCAAATGAATACAGTACTTGTACTTTCAAATATCAAGTGCCAAATTCCTCGCAAAAGAATATTGACTTTGAAAGTTCACGGTCTATTTAGCCCTATCGCTTGGCCTTGTATCTACATGTTGCCATACTTATTACATTTAAAATTACTTATTACATTTTTTGAAAATTATATAGGCCATATGATACAGGAGTAGCGAAAGGGCTAAATGCTGAACTATTCAGCGCGATACTGCAGCGTATTCCCCGGTGTGCAAACGGTTGCAGGTCGCAGGGGGTGGGTCGCAACGTTCGCTCGAACGTCGCGAGCCGCTATGGGGGTGGTGTACCGTCGCATACTTTTCCGCTGTCCAACATCAGGCGTGCGGGGATCCTACGTCGCGGAGAGAGAGAGAGAGAGAGAGCTGTACTCTCTCCGAATCTCTCTTTGGTGTTGTGGCGCATCTGGTCTCGCGTCTTCTTGCTTGTTCGGGGGTTTCGATCAATAGGACAGGGAGGCGGGGGAGTCGGCTAACGGGCGGCCGTCCATCCAGTGACGGCTTCGACGATTTGCATTGCTAATCGCCTGTAATTAAGAAGCTCGTAAAATTACTTGAAATTCTCTCGACGACGCCCCCGGCGTCTTCCTTGGAACTCTCTGATAATGATACCCATGATAGATCCTGGTGAGACTCGCTCGCGCAGCGAAAGGGACAGTGCAACAAGAAACTACTCATTTTTCTATTAATACCGAACGGAATAACGTTTTATTTCGTACTCAAGCCTGTCGATAACCTTAGAAAAATGGAGGCCAGACAGATCTCATTTATCGCGCTTCATTCCAGAATTTTTATACTGACATGGTTTAGCTCCTAAAGGACGGGACCCGACGTACACTGGCATAATAGCTGTCCACCCTACTTCCAACGCTTCAGGCTTGTAGCATGCAAGCGGGGTGGACGGCTATTATGACTACAAGTGTACATTTATACTTTTCAATCAAATTCATTGATAAATCATTCTTATCGTGGAGCATTATTAAAATTTACTTAAATTATATTATTATTACAATTTACTTAATTACAATTTACTTACGCTGCTCCAATATGACACTCATGCCCAATTTGTACACTCTTTTTATTGGAAAACATCAGCAACCGCGTTAGGTTAACCGGTTTCTTCTAACATTATTCTTTCCTTACAGTTACAACGGTTCCTGGTAGAACAAGAAAATGTAAATTTAGTGTGCGTCTACATTTTATTTCTATTTTATCTCGTATTTAATTTATATGAAATGTCAGATCAATTGTGTGAATATTTATCTGAACGTGCGCCGGAGAGGGCGCACGCCCCGACGTTACAGCCCTGACTCAGAACTACCGGGTCGCGGGGGGCAGCAGGGGGCGCTCCGATTGGTCCAGCTCGATTTCCCGGGTTCGAGAAGTCGCGCGTGCTAACGGGCCCGCCAATCGGAGCGACCTCCAGCCCGTCAGTCAGTGGCCGCGCGTTGCTCACGTAACATCGTACGGTTTTCTTGTTGTGCCTGCCCTGGCCAATTCGATATACATCTTTCTACCTTAGAACCGCTCTTAAGACGTTCCCACTAACGTTGTCTCTTCCTCTTCTCATTGAATCGTCACAAAAATCTCGTCACCTGTCGTCGAGAGCGGGTGTCATTCGGGTGACCCCGTATGCCATGCCTCTCGAGCTGTCACTTCATCTCGACGCTCGGACGACGTGAGACAGTGGGGAAAGTGCGAGGAAGATTCGTGTCCCTTTCTTCGTCGAGGCAGAGTGACATTGTACCGGGAAAATGATTTCCACGTAGAATCGACTGTCATCGTAGATAAACGTCTTTATCGGCGTTGCCGGCCGTCGAAATTTCCTCGAGGTGTTTACGGGTGTATCTAGTGTGACCTAGGTATCATCCCGGCTTCCCGCGGTTCACCTGAAAGGTGTGGCGCGAAACGCACAGTGCACCAGCCAGAAGAGGATAGAGCCGGAGTCCGGTCCACACTGCCCTATTTCCGCGACGCCCCCAAGGTTAACGAAACCCTTTAGCTGTAAGTACGTCGATACTCCGTCGAATATGCTTTCCTCCCTGCCCGACTAACCTCGGCGCGTAGAAGATCCGTCCGTCGTCTCGAACCGTAGGAAAAAATCTGTCAGCTGTGTCCACGGGAGCCAAGAACGATTGGCCCGATCTGACAGATCGTGATCCAATAAGAGCGCCCGGTTCGACCGTTATGCCGAGCCGCAGGAACCGTACTATTTTCAAACGAGATTCCAATGGTCCTCGAACGTGTCGCAACACGGGAGGACATTAAACGTGAATAAACGCGCCTAATGGGATTCCAGGAATATAAATACGAATCGACGATCGCGGTGTTCCCCATTTTCGACGACAAATAGGTAGGTTAAGGAGATCCCCCGTTTCACACTGTAAATTTTGGTTCTCGTCTCTTGAATAAATTAGCCATTTGCACGGTATATTGTTCCCGACGGAGTGGTCGTTTCAACTTTCAATGGCCGGTTGGTAATTGCAATAAACCAACACTTTCGTATAACCGATACAGCACAGGTGGGTATAACGCGAGTGGCTCGCGCAATAATTTGTTTATTGCTTGCCCGCGGGTACCTCGAGGGAACCTGTAATTTGATTTCGCGAGGCTGCGGGGGCATTAATGCCTAATAATAATAATATTAATATTATTATTATTGTATATAATATTATTAGTATATAGTATATAATAATATTATAATATTATTATTATAGTATATAATATATATATAATAATATATATTATATAATAATATTAATATTATTCGGGTCTTGCGAATCGCTTATGAATTCGTCGGAAATCAAACCTGAATCGATTTACGTCACGCGTTGTTTTTGTTGTCATTATTTGAATGGCAAATTAAATCGCGATTCCTGCTCGAGATAACTTATGGTCTCACAGTTAACTACGTCACTCGTTATCTGTCATCCACACGTTTTTTAAAGAAATAAATTTACATCACAGTTCAATCAATTATATAATCTGTAATTAAATATGATGAACAAATTAAACGTATAAATTGAGCAAATAAATCTGCGGGTTTCGTTATTACGTGTGACATCATTACACGCGGTATTTATCGTCGTTCATGAACAGGTAGTTAATGAGGAAGCTACGGTTTTGTAATTTGTTAAATGTTAATCGCATTACCGAAATCGATCAGAACATCATTATTAATGTTCACTGAACCGATCCGCGGTCGACCCCGAGTGGGGATTTGCGTGGAGCCGTGCTGTACAAACACAGCGATTCAGCATTTGATGTGCTTCAATTATAGACCGAGAAAAACAGGCAAGGAAAGCCTGGCTGATTGCAGTGCACGCGATCTTCCGCGCATTTTTTTTTGCTGACTCGATCTATCCGCGGATAAAAAACATTCTCTTCCCTGCGATCTGCCGTCAATCATTGTGACAGTGATTGAGCAGTCCATCGGTTGCTTATCTAAATGTTTGGATACTATAACGTTGGTTTTCTTTCTTTCCAGGGCCGCGCTTATGGTACCATGAGGTTGCACGCTGAAGCGGAAACGGAGACCTTGGAACGACAAGAGCTTCCCCTCAGGTCGATCAGAGGATAAATAACGACCGCAAGATGTTGATAAAAGAGTACCGGATACCTATGCCTCTCACCGTGGAGGAATACCGTATCGCTCAGCTGTACATGATAGCGGTAATGTCCAGGAACATACCCCCCGTGACAACCATTTTTGTATAACGCGTTTATTTAGTGCGCAGATCACGAAGGAATTTACCTCTTACAGAAAAAATCACGGGACGAGAGTCATGGAGCCGGCAGCGGTGTAGAAATCATAGTGAACGAGCCGTACAGCAATGGTCCAGGAGGGAATGGCCAGTACACGTACAAGATCTTCCACGTGGGCAGCCATCTTCCAGAATGGTTGAAGAGTCTGCTGCCCAGATCGGCGCTGATTGTGAAAGAAGAAGCTTGGAATGCCTATCCCTACACGAAGACCCGTTACACCTGCCCGTTCGTTGAGAAATTCTCCATCGAGATAGAAACATACTATTTCCCTGATAACGGGTATCAGGATAATGTGTTCAAGCTCAGTGGCAGTGACATGAGGAACAGAATCGTTGGTAGATACTTATAACTTGTGATTGAGAGCTTGATTCGATCACATAATAAATTGTATAGATTGTATCGTTTATGTAATTCGTTGTAGATGTAATCGACATCGTGAAGGATCAGTACGCTGTGAACTACGTGAAAGAGGAAGATCCAAAGCTGTATGTATCTCAGAAAACCGGCAGGGGACCGCTGACGGAATCATGGGTGGAAGACTACTGGGCAGATGTGAAAGTATATAAAATTGATTTGTGTGTAGTCACGTTAAAATCAGTTGGCCGTTTTACATCACTAGATAAGGCTATCTTCGGCAGATATCGTATCTGTTGAAGTGATATTAAATGGTCAGTTGTGGTTCATTCGTGACGTAAGCGATACTGAGACAGTAGGATTCTTCTTTAGGGAAAGCAACAGCCAACGCCGTCCGGAAAGTCTTTGATGTGCGCCTACAAGCTTTGTCGCGTAGAGTTTCGTTATTGGGGTGTGCAAACGAAATTGGAAAAGTTTATACAGGACATAGGTCAGTACCGTCGACATCGATAGATTGTTTTATTGTACAACTTATGCAATGAACGACGAATATTTTTAGCTCTGCGGAAAACCATGGTGGAAGCGCACAGACAAGCATGGGCATGGCAAGACGAATGGCACGGCTTGACTATGGAGGATATTCGGGAAATCGAGAAACAAACACAGCTGGCGTTGCAGAAAAGAATGGGTGCTGCGGAGGGTGGTGAGGAGTCCATGGACGAGAATCAGGAAAATGCTACTTCTAACGCGAGTCCTCAAGACTCGGATGTTGCGGCTACTTTGGCGGCTACCCTTGGTAGCATCGAGAAAAACGAAGACCTTCAGAGCCCGCCGAGTGTCCGGAAATCTTCTGATATACAAATGACAAACACAGCCGGCAGCTCCGAGGGTGAAGTCAGCCCCGAGGACTCCCCAACCGAAGTACCTGAACTTAGGTAAACCTTGAAGTAAAATCAGAAATCTTTTTACTTTGATGGATGTCCTCCCATTCGATGTCGTCATGATATTTACCGTAGTCGAATCTGTTCCAGAAGCGCTCCTGCTGAGGATAAGCCGGATCCCAAGAAAGCATGGAAGAAGAACAAAACGGCGGTTCATTCGCCTTCATCGAACAAAAGTTTTGATATGCAGATTGCGAATTGGCGGATGGAGAGTATTGTCAGAGAATCAGAGTCTGGTAGCGAGGAAGAGTTCTTCGATTGTCAAGGTAAAATGTCCTTCATTTTTACAAAGCATGATTCTAACACTTTCAAAAAGTTTAATCTATGATATTTGCATATAAGTAACACTTTGGCTGGCGATACTCAACTTTGAAGCCGTGGCTCAGCGAATTTCTTGGACGTGGTATTCGTGTCTGTTAAAAGACATGTAGACTGGAAAAGCAAATTCAAAGAGTCCTTCAGAAATTCGCAATTTGCCACTAGTAAATACAGCATGAGCTGGTATTTTTCCACGTCTTCTATTTGTTTTATGTGTATCCTCTCTGTTTTTCAAATTGCACTCAACACTGCAGCCGGGTTCATTATACCTATTATACGTTCAGGTAGGACATGTAGATAAATCTTAGAACTACAGACGCTTTCATGTGTCTGTTGGATGACACACTTCAAGGATCTAAAAGATCAACACTGACACTAGTGTTAGTATTCTGTGTATGAGTTATGAACATTGTATGATTGCATTTATGCCTTTTTAGAGGAAGCGAACTTACATTTAGACGATTAATTATATCAGACTGTAGACTCGTAGTTTTATTCTATCACGATAAAGAAAGTCTAATCTCAGTTCTATTATAACAGGATATGGAAATAGAGCTCCTCGCATGGAAGTTTTAACAACGATTTCTGACAGCATGAAATCAGCATGACTTTGTAGATCACAAGAATAGTGGATCTCTTTCTAAATGCCATTCCTATATCTAACAACTAAATGCCACGGTACTACGTTTCTGTTTTCTGCTTCTTGTGACCGCCTGTTCTGATCTCAGTGAGCCGAGACCTCGAGTCGTATTGTCCCTTTTCCGTTCTTAACGCGTGTCACAAACGTTTAAAAAGGCACAATGCATAAGCAATGTTAAAATTTTTGGTTGCACAGAGGACTTTGGCGATAACTCTTCATTAGCTAAATGGAGTTCTTTGGATCTTCTAGCAGAAGAGGAGGACAATACGTTTGCCTCGCCCACTACCGCAGACAAAGAAGGTAGACCGTGATCATTACGTTAGCAGCATTTCTTTTTTCAATCATATCACACTTGAATGACTTTACTCACAGATGACACGATATTCTCGACGACTTACCTCCAACGAATGGCTAGTGAACACAGCAGTAAAAGGTTGCAAATCTCTTCATCGACCAGCATCGACGTCTCCTATCCAGCATCGCCGCAACATTCCCCGACCCATCAACCATGCAAAACCACTGTGCTCCTTATAGTGATGCACGCCGGAAGCGTATTGGGTAATTGATACAAAATATGTTTCTCAGTTGATCGATTTCTTAATAAATACAATACACGTGTGCAAATATTCCAGATGCTAATGTAGATTTAACTGCGAAAAAATCGGACATAACGACATTCAAAGGGGCCTTCGAATCAGTCATGAGGCAACACTATCCCAGCATGGTTGGTCACGTCGCTATTAGGTTTGTTCCCTGTCCTCCGATCTGCACCGAAGGTCTCGGTATTTTATCGAGGTAAAATCTGATTCTTGATCCGTTACTTCTTTCTCTATTAATATCTTATAATTCACATGATGCATTTAATTTCAGTCTGAGTCCATACAGTTTTGATATATCTCCTTCATCCGTGGATGCACCTCCAGTTACCAACGACACGATTCCAATTGGCGCGATTCCGCTGCTTGCTAGTTCAACGCCCGAATATCAGGACGCTGTTTCGCGAGTGATAGCTGGAGCCAATCAAGTGTATAATGAGTTTGTGAGAAGCGAGGAGGGTCGTGGCTTTACAGGACAAATTTCCTTTATAGGGGACTCAGTAGGAGCAATTTTAACTTACGACGCTTTGTGTAGATCAGCACAGTCTAGACATAATAGTGAAAACAATATTTTGGATAGTCAAGTCGAGAACAATGACGACGGGAGACACTTGGCAGCACCTTCTCCCAGAAGAAAATCTTCTAGTATAAAGTGAGAACCGATTCGCGGATGTGCCAGGTTATCGAATAATAATTTCAATATCTTTTCTGCTTAGTGATCTCCAACATTCTAAACTGGACTTCGACGTAGGCGAATTTTTCATGTTTGGCAGTCCACTCGCTTTAGTTCTGGCATATAGAAAAATTTCTGCGGGCGGCGATAAGAATAGTAACACAAAGAGACCGTCGGTGAATCAACTGTACAACTTGTTCCATCCTACTGATCCCGTAGCCGCTAGATTAGAGCCGTTGATCTCTGCAAGATTTTCTCTGCTTCCACCGGTTAACGTGGCTCGGTATCAAAAGTATCCACTTGGGAATGGTCAGCCTTATCACTTATGTATGTATCCCCCATATACAATTGTATTTTCTATACACAGCATAAATAGAGAGAACAGGCATTTTACATTGCATTACTTACAGTGGAGACGATTCAATCAAATGCACAATTATTCACGGACATGCCTGTGGCTCATATAAGAAGGCTATCTGATATATCGATTCACAGTACGATGTCCGGTATGGTAGAAAATATACAAGTAGTTACCAATCGTATGTAAAAAACCAATTTTTTTTTTGTCCATGATGAAGGGCGTGATTATATTATCTTTATGATCGGCAATTTGTTACAGTAACACAAAAATGGTGGGGCGCGAAAAGACTGGATTACGCACTTTACTGTCCAGAAGGTTTGGCGAATTTTCCTACGAACGCTTTGCCACATCTTTTTCATGCCAGCTACTGGGAATCGTACGATGTAATTGCGTTTATTCTGCGACAATTGGGCAGATTCGATTTGCCCATACTCTCTAACGAAGAGAAAGAATTATCTTCCTTCCGTCCAGGTCAACCTAGAGAAAAGTGGAACAAGAAACGTACCTCGGTTAAGTTGAAGGTACCTTATTTTTAAACGCTTACAATGTTCATTCGTAACTTGCGCTTATCTCATCTTTTATTACATTAGAATGTTGCTGCCAATCATAGAGCGAACGATGTAATTGTTAGAGAAGGAGCACCACAAGTGTTGGTTGCCAGATTTATGTACAGTCCTATAGACGTTATCTCATTAACAGGTGTGTTGAATACTTTATCATATAAGCTATGTACTCCAAAAGGTTTTTCACTTTCAATCAATCCTTGTAGGCGAAAATGTGGACATTCACATCATGAAGGATGCTCCTGCAGGAGAATGGACGTACTTATCTACAGAAGTGACTGATAAAAATGGTAGAATAACCTATAGGATACCGGATGACAAAGCATTGGGCTACGGACTATACCCTATTAAAATGATTGTCAGGTAACACAATCAATCGGCAGGTGTCAAGAAAGGTGTACCCCAGGATGATACAGACCAATTTCTTCTTTCAGAGGTGATCATACATCGGTAGACTTTTTTATGGCTGTGATTCCACCGAAAACAGAGTGTGTAGTGTTTAGCATAGATGGTTCGTTCACTGCGAGTATGTCTGTTAGCGGGAAGGATCCAAAAGTAAGAGCGGGAGCTGTTGATGTTGTCAGGTACTATATTTGTAGTCGTGTGAATACAAAAATCAATTTTCTCGCGTCCACAGTACACTGACATCTGTTTAATTTAGGCACTGGCAAGAATTGGGTTATTTAATTATTTATATTACTGCGAGGCCCGACATGCAACAGCAGAAGGTCGTTTCCTGGTTATCTCAACACAATTTCCCACACGGTCTTGTATCCTTCGCGGATGGCCTGTCGACAGATCCACTAGGTCACAAAGCTGCGTACTTAAACAGACTGGTCCAGGTAACACATTATAAAAAAAAAAGACATGGCATCGTTGTTAGACCTAGCGAACCATCTAATGATAAACATACTTCTTAGGAACACGGTGTAATAATTCATCACGCATACGGCAGTAGCAAAGACATTAGCGTGTACACGGCGATCAATCTAAAACCGAATCAAATATTCATCATTGGCAAAGTGCCCAAGAAACACCACCTGTTAGCGACGATCCTCCAAGAAGGCTATGCTGCTCATTTGACAATGCTACAGGCTCATGGAGGTTCGAGGCCTGCCCAGGGTAACGCTCGTATGGTGATTCCAAGGGGTCAGTTCGGTTTGCCCGGACAAAATGCTTCGCTACGGCGGAGAAAGTAAGCAATCCATTCTCTAGTATATGCTCGACGTTGGACATTGTCCGGTTAGATTACATGTTGTGGTGATGTGGACATTTTTAAGGTAATAATTCATTCGATCCTTGCTAAACCCCGACGTTCCGACGTTCCGATCGCTGCAGAACGGCGGATGTGTCGTGATAAATGTTGTCTCCTAGACGGAGAAGATGTGCAGGAGTGGGCGTAAGGCATTTCGGAGATTAATCAAAAGCTCTCTGTTATCTGTACATAGATAATGCTGTATTTTTATAAACTGTGTACTGTGACGTCGATGTATGACAACGTTTCGAGCAAAAAAAGTAGTTGTTTCAGTGGTGACGACGACGGTGCGTTCGTCATGCTCGCGCCCGAATCAATGTTAACTAAACCAATATAGTCGAGAGATTTGTAAAAACAATCGTTAACTACGAGAACAAGGTACATAAACCACAAATAATCTAAGTAGTCGCATGGTACAATCCATAAAAAAGCCTTGGCAAACGATATAGACCGGCGACCCAACGATTCCGTTGTCGTTCTACCGTAGAATCGTTTATTTGACAATTAATTTATTATCTTTTGTTCATAAATAATATCTTGTATGAAATACTTGGAATTCTTTTGAATGATAACCAAGCCTGGTCTATATCGTATGTTCGGATGCATAGGTATCATTCCTACATGAAGTCTTAACGATGCAAAAGTTGATTTCGCGACTGCATCTAATTTCGAATCGAAACGAGTCTTCTGTAGTTCCACCTAGCTTATGTATGATCTATGTACAGTGCCGTTCTTGTTCGCATCATCGTCATTTCCTGTTTCTTCGTTTGCTTGTTGTGTTAGAGTGACGCTGGGTTCTCTCACAGATAGAAGTAACTTCTTATGTTTCTCTAGTCTTTCAGAACTGATCTCTCTCTCTCTCTCTCTCTCTCTCTCTATCTCTATCTCTATCTCTATCTCTAACTCTATCTCTATCTTCATACGTTTCTCCGCATTCTTCAGCCGAACAATGTTTGAAGCTTATTAGTCTCTTCATTCCAGGTACCTGTTATGAAGATGAGTCGGGTCACGCGGCGAAATTCCGCCGCCGTTCTACGCTCAAACTTAATGTTTTATCTGTCAGCCCGTGCATATGTCCAGAATTTGCGGTTAAATCAACGTATGAGTGTCTAGATGTAGAGAAACTTAAAAACAGATTTTTCGTTACTCCGTGAAACGGTCTGATCTCACTATAGCGACCAAGGTAAACCAGCCCTTTACCGCTTCAACTCTGTTAGAGGTGAATGTGCGTGCGTGTTGCGGAATAAAGCATATTTCAGCTAGATTCACCACCGGCAAAGTAGTCTCTCTCTCTCTCTCTCTCTTTGTTCTTTTTTTATGGAACTCTGTTTAAGGATCAAATTTTATCTTTGATTTGGTGGTAGATCAGACGAAGACATCTTGCTTGTACGAAAGACTAACAGCACGTCTATCATGCGATCAAAGCTCTGACACGATGCACTACTTTACACGCGAATGCCATTTCAATTTACACGATCCACGGACCTAACGGTGTACAAGACTGTAGACGTTTAATTTACTAAAAGCAGAATGGAACTCTAGAATAGAGGATTTCAGTCATGCAACAGCGATTAAGCTTCTACAGTCCATTCGCAAAGTCTTCCAACATCTTTTCTAGCTATTGACTCCCGCAGGAGCCAGATATGCAGATCCTGCAGCAATTGAAACCACTTCTGCATTCTCAGAGTCAACCAGCTTTGTTCAGATCAAATTGTATTGTCTTTTCTTGTCTCATTATGTATTGTACCAGACTGTGGGCTGAAACAGCTTCCATTGTAAGAGATATATTTTGCGGCATAAAGTGTAAATATAATTATATATATTATATTCTCTATTATATATTCTCTATTATATATAATTATATTCTCTCGCAATGGAGAATGTCGACGTTCCTCTGTCTCTTCATTTAAACGACGACTAACTGATCCACTCTACATCACTGTCTTTGCAGGACAGCCATTCGTCTTCACCGCCATCCGATCATTCACCAGTGCTTTTTACTTACGGAGATGTTTATGTCACGCTTTCAGTATGAAAATCCAAACACACTGCTAGTTCTACTATGCTGCTAATTCCATGTCNGAAACGAGTCTTCTGTAGTTCCACCTAGCTTATGTATGATCTATGTACAGTGCCGTTCTTGTTCGCATCATCGTCATTTCCTGTTTCTTCGTTTGCTTGTTGTGTTAGAGTGACGCTGGGTTCTCTCACAGATAGAAGTAACTTCTTATGTTTCTCTAGTCTTTCAGAACTGATCTCTCTCTCTCTCTCTCTCTCTCTCTCTATCTCTATCTCTATCTCTATCTCTAACTCTATCTCTATCTTCATACGTTTCTCCGCATTCTTCAGCCGAACAATGTTTGAAGCTTATTAGTCTCTTCATTCCAGGTACCTGTTATGAAGATGAGTCGGGTCACGCGGCGAAATTCCGCCGCCGTTCTACGCTCAAACTTAATGTTTTATCTGTCAGCCCGTGCATATGTCCAGAATTTGCGGTTAAATCAACGTATGAGTGTCTAGATGTAGAGAAACTTAAAAACAGATTTTTCGTTACTCCGTGAAACGGTCTGATCTCACTATAGCGACCAAGGTAAACCAGCCCTTTACCGCTTCAACTCTGTTAGAGGTGAATGTGCGTGCGTGTTGCGGAATAAAGCATATTTCAGCTAGATTCACCACCGGCAAAGTAGTCTCTCTCTCTCTCTCTCTCTTTGTTCTTTTTTTATGGAACTCTGTTTAAGGATCAAATTTTATCTTTGATTTGGTGGTAGATCAGACGAAGACATCTTGCTTGTACGAAAGACTAACAGCACGTCTATCATGCGATCAAAGCTCTGACACGATGCACTACTTTACACGCGAATGCCATTTCAATTTACACGATCCACGGACCTAACGGTGTACAAGACTGTAGACGTTTAATTTACTAAAAGCAGAATGGAACTCTAGAATAGAGGATTTCAGTCATGCAACAGCGATTAAGCTTCTACAGTCCATTCGCAAAGTCTTCCAACATCTTTTCTAGCTATTGACTCCCGCAGGAGCCAGATATGCAGATCCTGCAGCAATTGAAACCACTTCTGCATTCTCAGAGTCAACCAGCTTTGTTCAGATCAAATTGTATTGTCTTTTCTTGTCTCATTATGTATTGTACCAGACTGTGGGCTGAAACAGCTTCCATTGTAAGAGATATATTTTGCGGCATAAAGTGTAAATATAATTATATATATTATATTCTCTATTATATATTCTCTATTATATATAATTATATTCTCTCGCAATGGAGAATGTCGACGTTCCTCTGTCTCTTCATTTAAACGACGACTAACTGATCCACTCTACATCACTGTCTTTGCAGGACAGCCATTCGTCTTCACCGCCATCCGATCATTCACCAGTGCTTTTTACTTACGGAGATGTTTATGTCACGCTTTCAGTATGAAAATCCAAACACACTGCTAGTTCTACTATGCTGCTAATTCCATGTCCTCATCTGCTTCCACAACCGGTGATCTACACCTGTCTCTCGTTGATAGATGCAGCATACTTCTCACGATTTGTGCTACAAGTTTTGTGCTAACGTTCAAGAGGTCACTGGAACGTTCGCCTATCTCACAAATTAGATCTAGATTTAGATAGTAGAAGAGATCTATCTCTATCCACGTTCAAGTGGACACATTTATTCGACCTCGAGAATTTCAATGTCTGCTTCAATATCCCGAAACTATAGGACTTAATAACGATTTGATTCTTCAGGCATGACTCACGAATCCTTGCGGCTGATAGAATACCGACTCTCTTGATGCTTATCCTGTTTGCCAATTTCTTTAAAAAAGTTTAATGTCTTTTTAACATTAGAAAATACTCAACACATTCACTGTGTCAATTGTAAACATTTCTACCGGAACTAACGAACTTAAATAGCAGCCAGTCAATGTGTAGGGTATGATGCTCAGAACAATTAGGACTAGTCTAACGGTTAATGGTTCTAGGATTACCCTAATTATTCTGATCAGTGTAACAAGTCTCTACATTTTAATACGCACAATTCTTGAAATTATTTCGATTGGGAGAATCACGGATTGCTTGTGTATTAACACGAATGAATGTTAGCTCTTTCAGACTGGCCAAACGTGCGATATCCCAGCCGATCCCGGGCAACATGACGTTGCCCTTGGAACGATCAACAAGTGTCGGCCCTTCAATCTCACCTCAAACCGCGCCAGCCATCAGATCCACGGCACCGGAGAAACTCTGACGGTTCGCTCGCTGCCGGTCGTTCTTCGAATCCCGGCGGTGAACGATGTCTTAAGTATCGCGAGGATCTTCCCTAAAACGGAATCGGTCGGATCGAAGAAGAAGTCCTCGTACATTTCAATCGACACATGCTCAACAATTTAAAGAAGATCTAACTTTGTTACTCCACTTTTATATCCACTATCTATACCTGTAAATTGTAATCCAGGGTCGTTGAAAATGATCAGATCCGAGGCTTCCAGAAGTCGAGGCGCGCCATAAATGTGTCTGGGCAGTATAATCTCTCCGATAGCAACAGCTGAACTGCGGATCTTTGTGCACCTAATGTGTATGTAGATTTAACAAATGCTACACGACGCCTACATTAACACCCTATATCCGCCAAAAATCTATCGGTAGGTTTTTTAATGGCTGTGCTATATCTGAAAGAAGCTTGATCTTTTTTTCAAGTAATTTTTCATTTGTTCAGTGGAATTTAAAGAATTTAAAAAGTGAATCGCAATAGTATTTTCCTTGTTTTAAATGGCATAAAATTAAACATGACGATGAAAGTTTTGCACGATGATCCGCAGTCTGGTAAACAACGGCTCGAACGTACGAGGACCTCCGCCCCCGCGTAAAGACGATCACACGGTGCCCTTTGTTACAATAAAACTGAAACTTCATACGTTGCAATTCGTTCTTCAATCAGCGATCGGGGTTTTTCGTTTCTTAGAGACCTTGTACGAAACACTATGAAAAAAATACTGTTTCGGCAATAGCGTCTTTTGCAAACCGTGATCGAACATGATCAAAATTTTTTGATAATACGGTGCAACGAGTGAATGCGACTAGTTCCTACTGTGAATGACGAATAAAATGAGGGGGGGAGGGGCACGATTCCTTAGAGGCGAGGCACGGTTTGTAGAAGAGTACCATCGTCTCAGTCTAGCGAACAAAATGATGTATGTATGTACAATCATCTTTTACCGTAGTGTAACTTCTCCTCTGTTGGTAGTTCATAAGGAGTATAAAGATTCGTTGAAATTGTTACCTGAGATCCCTTTTTTCAAGGGGAAACTGACATTCATCGTTACATTGTTAGCGTTAAATTAGCCCGTAAGCCTTATTAGTACTCTATTACCAGGAACTATAGTGACACGCATACTGTCGCGGCCAAGTTCCTTCGGTGCTATGCAGTGATGGGATTCAGCTAGTTTTTAATCCTCAGAAAACGGACATTTTTAGAAACATTGTAGACGATAATGCCTAGGTCCACTCAAACGTTAATTGACACATTTTTCATTGCACTTCCAACAAACAAAGGCATCGACTTTACTAAACTTAACAGGTCACCACAAGGTGGGCACTATCGTCAAAGGGTTAAAGTTTCATTTTTATTATAATTTACATCGAGCATTGTTAATTCAAATACGTATGTTCCTCCCTAAGAGGAACCGCTGAAGCGTGGACCGGTTCCCAGACGTTTTGAATCCTACCACTGGTATTATGTCATATTTTCAATGTATCTCTTCATATCGATTTCTAAAGAGAACAGAGGAGAAGAAAACGAGGGGGGAAGAGCATTGTAAAAGTGTAACACCGTTTTGTATGTTGTTTATTGAGCAGGCCCATGGGCGATTCCCCGAAAACGTTGGTACAAAAACGCTTCCCTCTTACCGCATAGTTCCATGTTGCCGGCGAGCTGGCAATGTAAATACCAGAAAGTGTACATAATAAGTAGCTACGATGTTCATGGGTAACGATAGAGTATAATTTAGTAGTTAGCTGCGCGGTTTCGTCGACAAGTCATGCTGTCCACACGATGATATGCCGGGGGATGGCAGTTTGACGAAAAGCGTTTACAATAGTTACCGATACGTTCTCTTGAGAATTGTACGCTTAACACTTGTGGTTAGATGATCGATTATCGTCTGCCTTTGTTGACCGACCGGGAAGAGTATGTATAATTTTTGTAATCTGTCACCATTCGAATTATCGCGTCGCTTATTACTGTTACAAAATACGACGATAGTTACTCAAGAGCAATAGCGGGATGGAATTTTTCAACTACTTTAAGCAACGATGTCTAAAAAGAAATGTAGATCAGCGACGATCCACGGGATCATCTCGAGCGACGGACAACTTTTTTCTTTACTTTTTTCTGCGTGGTTCGGTATCCAGACGGAATTAGATTAATAATCGATTTAACTCATTGTTGTGCCATCATTGTTCCTTGACTGTTTCAAAGATATTGTAGCCAATCTAAGATCTGCCATTGATCTAGTCCTTACGTAAAAAGAAAGAACTCCATGTATATTATTTACCCGCGCTGTCTTTGCTGTGATGTGGTACACGAAACAGATTAATTGATAATTATTGAACTATTGACTGTTTGTATCGTTGTAAAGTGGCATGAACGTAGCTCTATATACAAAAAACACAGAAATATGCCGTGATGGTATATTTATATATACATGTATGCGTCTATCAGAATTTGACCGTGTACATGTATACATATGTATGTATATAAATTGTGTATATGTATGTACGGAGTGTTCATCGACAAGCGGCAACTTTATTGGTTTCTCGCGAGATGCTGGAGCAACATTTATTAAGCAAGAAGTTTTAGCAGAGATCATTTGATAGAATGTATCTTAGATTTTACACTGTGCAGCCCAATATGAAAAGAATGATAATAATCTTTACTCGTGTATTAAAAGTGTTATTTGTTGCTGAACCAATAAAGTTACTCACAGACGCTCTGTATATGTATGTATACGACAAGATAAATGTTTAAGATATATTATATATACATATATATATATATATATATATTTATTCGTAGGCGTTTAAGTGACTGCGAAAATATTTTACTTATACGGATGGACGATTATTCTCACTGGTAATAAGAGTTATATTTTTGTTAGCGTAACTTAAATGACGTATTGTAATACTTAATCAAGGGTCATTGTTTTATATTATGCGACCTCGCTCTAACGTAATCGATTGTTTTATATACTGTTGACACGTGACCTTTTTTTTTGTCATCGGCCGCAGTGAAATTGACTCTCGAGATTTCCGAACAGAACGCCTGGCTGAAAAAAAACTGTAGTCTACTTTTCTTCATTGGGTATTGCAATAAATGATAAATCATTGTCGTTTGAAATCTATTTGAAATTCAAAATTAAATTTCCAAAACCCGCCTTTATTTCTTCACCTTAGAACACCTCTACCATTGTCCTGTGTTCCTGATTATTCGCGAGTAAAATTCACCGAAGTTCGTGACTAAAATTATTAACTCGTTTCGTCCACGCTTGTCACGTGATCTAAGAATAGAAAATTTAAAAAAAAAAGAGCGCCATTTGTGATAAGGTGGCGCTCCTAGTGGTGAAATTTCGAAGCTTAATCGAGGTCCGTACAGCGCCAATTAGTACGGTGGCAAAACGCTCAAACTGCTAGCCAAATTACCGGCAGTCGATTTTGGCCAACAGTTTGAGCGTTTTGCCACCGTACTAATTGGCGCTGTACGGACCTCGAAGGGAGCTTCGAAATTTCACCACTAGCGGCGCCACCTTATCACAAATGGCGCTATTTTTAAATTTTCAAGAAAGCGGCAAGAATCAGTTTTCTGTATTTGCAATATTAAATAAACTTTTTTTACATGACATAAATGTAGAAGAGCCTCTTGAACAATCCTTAAGAGTATCTTGAAACCAAAAAATATTAATTTTGAGACACTATTTTCAATAATACATACCACGTAGTTCCTACTATCCCGCCATTGTTCTTCTAGTCTACTTTGATATACAGATGTACAGTGAAACGTGAAACGAAGTTGACGGTATATTAATCATAGTTCTGTTTAAAGTTTCATGAAGCCACTGTCATACAGCAGTTTTATTATTTTGTAAGCAATTACAAATTAAAAAAGGTAAATTAACATACTATGCTTTCCTCTAACTTATATTTATAGTGCAATAAAAACAACAAAGTTTATGATTAAAATTAGTACAAATATATTTATTATAAACTAGTAGTATTAGATTTAGACGAATATAGTTTATGTAATCACACTTTGTTGCTTTTTTCTTTAATAGAAATAAACACCTTGTTACATGATTAATAAGCGGAGAGGAGTGAAAATGGAGCAGCGTAAAATATACACGGCTGCAATCTCTCTTCACCCGGTTTTTACACTTCAGTAGCATGCCAAAAACTTACACGGCTAAATATCTAATACATGTTGTTTTTTAAAGTGTTTCTACAATCTCTTTTTACAGAAGAAACCTTGCTCCGATACACATCGTCGATACATTTGTCTATAGAAGAAAGGAAATACCTCGTCAGAATGATCGTAGCTCGGCTAAGGTTTATCATGAACACGTTCACAGACTTCTTTGAGAGAGTATTAAAGAATTTTCATACAAATGAGTAAATAACGTTGCTCGCGAGGAAAGTAAGGGATTCACTTTTCCAGACAAACAGGCTTCTTCCACTTGCCTCGGAGGATAAATAAAGCTAGTAGTACGTGGCGTTACATTTTTAGCTCGCAGAAGTGTCTTAGCGCAAATACTTATTTAATACTCGACATTAATATTTGTTCGTAAGTCTACGCGAGCCAGAAGTGCCTCCGGGGCAACATGGAGAAATCTCGCACCGCGGGTTTCACCGTTCTCGAAGAGTGAATCCATCCGAAAAAAGTAAAATTCTATTTAAAATATGTTTCACTTAACTCTTTGCTATGTATCGAACGAACATTAATTAGAGAAAATTTACATAGTACGATGGGAGACGCTACAAGCCGCCGAGAAGATCGTAGCAAAGAATTAAGAGCGAGGAAAATAAAAAGAAATCTGTTTGGATATTCTAACGGTACGATTTCGAACGAAATTTGTCGAAGTATATCACGCAATAAAACGGTTACGTGTCGACACGCATACAATAGGACACATATAACAACAATATGGGGTACGACCACTCGGACAGAGCTGCTTATGGTAGGAGCTAGTGCGGTGTATAAACCTGGGCAAAGTAACGAACTATGGTATCCTGTTTAACTATAAATCGAACGTCGAAGGTAAGAAACAGATCAGTGCCAGGTCCAGTGAACTTTGAATTAAAAATACTGTACAAGCGTTATCCTGGCGAAAATGTACAACCTGCTTTGAGCGATCTGCTTTCTCTCGCTTGAACAAATATGATTGACGACCGATAAGACGCGTCACAGAATTCTACGTGAAAGATATAGAATTAATTAATGGTACGCACTCGGAGCTCTCGATTCTTACTATCAGAGAACATGTTAAAATGTTTTTAACGTTTTTTTCCCTCTCTTTAAGCGAACGCTTTTTCGAGCCTCGCGGAATAAGTGTTTTGCCGATGTGATGCTTTCGTTTCCAGAAATTTTCGATATTTAACTATTTTTACTTTCACTCTTGTTTTTTCGCTAGTGAAACTTCCGAAGCGAGCTCATTCAGTTGTTTTTTTACTTGAGTATGTATATGTATGTATCCATATATGCTTATATATTTATATATATATATATATAATATAAATTTATATATATTTATATATATATATATAATATATATTTATATAATATATATTTTCATGAAATAATATTGCCTGTTTATGTTTTCCGAGATTATAGATAACGAACATATTCAGTATGCACATGTACAATATGTGGTACAGTTTTTCCTTTTTTCACTAATTTCCATGAGTGGTAGTTTAATAGCTAAAATATAAACAATATATTCATTGAAATCAGCTTGCAGCGCCTCGACTGACTTTCATTCCTCCTTCTCCTCCTACATGTTCTCGTTCTCATCAGAACCAAAATTCTATAGTCTATACTTCTTATAGACACTTTCTACTTGAATATATTATATACAAGGCAGGATTAACGCCTGCTTACTTCTTACAAGCTAACATCGTACGTGTTACTTATAAACAATTTTATAGAAAATTTATGTGATAAAACAACATAATAATAGTTACTTGTGAGCACAATAAACAAATTTGTACAATTTATTATGCGCTTGCTAATATATTCCATACACCTACATGAGAGAAAATTTATTCTTTCTTCCAACATTGTTTTTTCTCTAAGTGAAACAGAATGTAATGTCGCAGCAATTGGACCATTCTCCTGTTACAATTTTTTTTTCTTTGCTCACTGCATGCGAGCAAATTTCTATCTTTTCTCGTCTCTCATTGATTTCCCCATTGGTTTGCTAAAAATTCATTGCTCTAAACGCTCGGTGGCACTGATTTGATATATTTGTTAATTATTTTCGTAATTCATTATATATGTATCTGAATAGATGTACATAAATAATAATGCTTGTGCACGGTAAATGAATTTTGAACCACAATTGATAATTTTATTTACAAAAATAAAAGAATGAAGCCTTCTTCTTCTTCTCGAACAATACGACCGTAACAAAACAAATAATTTTGCATTGCACTTTTCTTTCTCATTATTGAATCGATACAGATCAAGAATAAAAGTCGGCATCACTAAGTCAATAATGTATGATACAAATAACCAAATTTTTTTACTATAATCTTATCGATATTATTCGTTCGTTCCATTCTTCAAATTATTAAGGCTGTTGTTTTCTTCATCGTCGTTTACCTAATTATCTAGTAAGCAATTAAAGTTACGATTAAAATAGATTAAGACTGGTCCAAAATTCATTGTTGTGCCACTATTCAAGTAAAGTACGCTCTCACGTGGGCAAATCAAAACTGTTCACACAACTCTAATAAATAGTGGACTAAATGTGTCCTATTGTTACGAACTTATGGCTACTTTCAATGTCTCTTTCCTACGTGTACTGGCACAAATCGATTCTTTCTCACTGCAGAAATTAAACGACCGATGTTCAGTTATTTTGTTGTCCCTCCTGTGTTTTATCGTGTTCGGATGCTTATTTCCCCTCGGAGAACTTTTCTCTCAAGCTCTTAATCTTATGGACAAAATATGTTTCCAACGATTCAGCGCACTTAAAGAACGGCGACTCTTTCGGATTGTAATAGCGACAGTTGTCGAATATCTTTGTCATGTCTCCGATGAATTCACTTAGCTTCTTGTAAGACCTATCGTTTATCCTCAAATCTATTGTTTGCAAATCTGTAAATTAGTTATTTCATTAATCGTAAAAAATATTCAGAATGTGAACACTAATCGTAGTAGATTGCGGATCTTTATATTTTTATATAAATCTAAGCAAGGAAAATAATGTATTCACTTACCCATTGGTTCCTTAATAACTTTGTAGTAGTCAGGAGCTTCGTTTGGATCCACAGGTTCCATAAATGGCCAAGCGCTTTTATGTGCCTAAACATTGCCATTTTCAATATTAATTACAAGTGAGCCAAATAGATAACAAGGATTACGTTAGTAAAGAATACTACTCGAACATACAAAACAATGCAGTATTGATCTTTAATTAATTAAAAAAAAAATGAAATTATTTTTCTTCTTGAGAAAGTCCATTGTCAATTGTTTACTTTACCTGTATTTGCTTAATTAGTTTCTTCAAGAGATCGAGGTCTTTCGCATTCAGGTTCTTCATGTTAGCAAAGTTAACAGAAGAATTTCGCTGGCAATTCGGACAAACGTATTCGTCGATATTTTCTGCTTCCGATTGAAGTATACCAACACATCGGCCGTGGAACCAATCTTGACATTTGTCACAGCATATATAAAATCTATAAATACATATACATATAAATGTCGATACAATTATCCTGTCAAAAAGTTAAAATTCGTATATAAAAAGCACAACAAAATTTGCATATGACATACTGAGATTCATCGTAAGGCTGTTTACAGAGACAATACAGTTCTTGAGTATCTCTTGCGTGTCTGCATTCGGTGCAAACAAATTCTGAAAGGGTTTTACACATTTCCTCCGTGATACCCACGCAGTCTCCGTGGAACCAGTTGTTACAGAGGTCGCATCCTACGTAAAATCTATCACGAATAATTATGATTATTTGAAAGAACAATATAGGCGTGCATTATGAAATAAATTTGTGTTTTAATGTCTCACTTTGTCTCATCGTAAGGTGTTCTGCACAAACAATACAACTTTTCTTTTTTAATTCTATTAGGAGTAGTTGCAGTCGATGCACCTGGTGGCGTGGTACTACTTCCTTGCGCTTTATATTTCTTTGGCCTTCCTCCTCTGTTCGGAGGACTAACTTGTTGAGCTACCTGAGCATTGGCTTTGCGCTTTGCACTACCCACTTTGACTTCGTCCTGCTTGTGTCTCTCTGCTTTTGTTCTCGATGCCAATTCTGCTGACAAATCCTTCTGTAACCAAACGAATGATATATACCAAGTGAAATAAAAAGGAATTCTAACAGTATTTAGGACAACCTACTTGAATGTCTATTTGCAATTCTTTTTCTAATAGTGCTCTCTTTTTGAGGATGTCCTTCTTAAGTAGTTCTTTATGTCTAAATAACAAGACTTGCATTCGAGAATGTACTTGTTGCTTTCTTCTTAACTCCTGACTGTCTTTCAACTTTGCTGCACGATTTTTGGGCGTCGTCTCGCTCTCAGATTGTTCGACTTTTATTACTCTATGCAAAACAGTCATTAATTACACACTAGTAATAATTAATAAATAATTACCTATTTTAATATTAACTTACTTTGGTGTTTCACGGTTTTCCTGTTTTATCGCGGGCTTCTTTCTCGGCGTTTCCCAGTCGGTATCCTGGTCATTCGTTGAGGATTGTGTACTGGTCGGCGTAGTTGGTGTTGGAATGTTAGAAGGTGCTGGTCTTTTACGTGATGGAACACGCGGCGTTGTAACCGTGGGCGTAGTGTGAGTTTGATTGGTGGCTACGGAATTCTCTACACTGCCTTTCATTTGCTTCTCTTGGTATCGTTGTAGCTGCAGTAGCTTCTCCTCTATTTCTGGATTCAGATTCTCTTGTTTCAAAGCATTTTTAATAGCTGCAAAGATTAACGATTGCTGTCACATGAAATTATAATATGAGAGACTAAAGAACTAAATTATCGACTAGCAACTAACTTTGTTGTATATAGTCGGGTGTTAAAATAAATTTATTGCCTGAGGAGTCGCTTCCTTCCTTTAGAGTTTGCAATGGTTGTTGACCATTGGCTACGTTTGTTTTCTGTGACTCCTCTTCGGAGGGTACATTCGGTTGCCCAACTTGTTGGACAACTACTTTAGGTTTCTCAGTTGTTGCTGGAAGCTCTGGAATGCTTTCTGTTCCTGTTTGCGATTCTACCGAGTTTAAATATATCATGAAGGAGGTACACGTTGCATTTTAAGAGAACATCTTCACGAGGGTAAGCAGCTGAACAAAAACGGTGGTAGCAAACGTGTTAGGGTATAGGAAATTAATGATACAAACCAGTTGCAGCTGTAGGTGAAACAACTGGTTGCTGCGCGGTCTGAGTCTTTCCGGCTGGAGTAGCGGGAGTATTTACTGTTGTTGAGCTTTGAGAGCTTTGAAGAGCTTGTTGGCTGTTCGGTGCTGGTTGAACAGCCAAATAAATTTTCGTAGGCCCTAGTACACCTTGTTTCCCTGTAGTAGCTTGAGCTGAGCAGAATTGTGGATCGTTAAAATCATATTATATTAAATATGTATACAATATATTTAATATCGAACCTTTGAGCAGTTGTTGCTTCACTTGTTGCTGCACCATTGCGAGTTGCTGCGGTGTAAAATCTGCACCTTGTAATCCCTGTAAGACTATACGAGGTCCTTGAGTAGTTTGAATGACTTGAGCTGTAACGCACTTGATGACAGTGCCAGGTGGTTGACCAGCTAATAAAGATGCCTCCACACTACCAGGTGCTGGAGCAGTAGAAGTTTGATTAGATGCGGTCGTGTTGGTCACACTTGCATTTGTAGTCGCATTGCTGCTGACAGTACTGTTTGTTGTTTCCGTAGATTGTGTTCCCGTCGTTGTTGCTGTCGTTGTTTGAGCAGTTTGTAACGCAGGAACTGAACGCAAGAAAGAATCAGTTAATATTAAACAACAATTTCTCAGAATATCTCCTACTAAATATATAATAATAATTATATATATAATTATTATATTGTGTAATAATAAATATATATATATATATATATATATTATATTTATAATAATAAATATATTATTTATTATATTATTTTTATAATAATATTATATTATTATATAATAATTATATATATATAATAATAAAATAATATCTCCTACTAATTGAAAGAAACAAACCTTGTTGCTTATTTGGCGTGATAGTATTTTTAACTATAATGCTACTATTCGCTGAATTTAAATGCACAATTTGATTGCCCGTAGGTGTACTGCGAATCACCACTTGATGGCCACCGATTGTCGTTAATTGAGCTTTGCCTGTTGCAAGTTGCTGAGCCAGATTCGCATTAGTGACTACTATTTGATTTCCACTGATCACTTGCCCGCTAGTAGATAGAACCTGCACATTAATAATGCATTAATATTTCTGCACAATACAATTATAATTTACAGTTTATGAAGGCATCGATTTTAGCGTACTTGTGCACCCTGTACAAGTTGACCAGTGTTAGCCACCACAATAGCATTTTTTGTTGCTGTTGTAGGTGTAGCAATCGCTACAGTTGTTGCGGGACGTTGCGCAGCCTGTTGAGACTGCGCTTGTGGTTGCTGCGACGCCTGTACTTGTTGCGTTGCATTTGCTGCCGCTTTAGTTGGACTAGTTTTGCCAGCTGTAGCGTTAGCCGTTGTAGCCGCTTTGGTTGCACTTGTTGTAGTTGCTGATTTTGTCTGGAAACATATTTTATAATGTATTAAGTTATTCTAATACTTTAATATTTTTATATTATAACAAACTTTACCGGTGTAGTTGAGCTATTTGCAGCAGTTTGTGCTGGGGCAGTTGTAATCGCTTGACCAGTATTCAACACATGCAGTTTTCCATCAGGCATTTGTACCAATTGTTGACCAGGCATTAAACCACGAACTTGAAGCTTGCCGTCCGGACCTCTTAAAATCTGTACTTTTTGTTGAATTTGTTGCACAGGAGCTACTTTATGGTAAACAAAAGATTGACGAAATAAAGATTTCAAGATTATGTCAAGATTATCATAACATTAAACTAAAACAGTACCTGCTTGCCCAGAAACTTTAATCAACGACTGCTGATTTCCAGTTTGCAATTGTGTCTTGGGCAAAATGCTTGTAGGCCCGGAAACAACTTTCGTTGTGCCATCAGCCGCTATTGAAAATAAAAATCAAATATTGAACAGATATAAATCTATTTCAAATACATTTCTTGTAAATATACTAATATTTATTAATATTTACATTTTGTCATGTAAATGCGCCTCGTTCCGATGAACGTCTTGTTTTGCGTAGGTGTTGTCAGAAGAGAAGTCAGTTGAGATTTTGTTCCACTATTTGGATTTGCTGGTATCGCGACCTTCGAAACTAATTTCACTGTGCCATCTGTGATAAATATCGAATCATTGTAATTTCACAAATTCGCCAGCACCGCATTTGTAAGTTGAATTAACAAAAATGGATCTTACCGTGAGCAGAGTTGGTGGTAACTTTAACAAGTTGCGTAGACGTAGCAGAGTTAGCTGGACTTTTCAGGGTCTCCAAAGCTCTCTTCTGTTGATGGGCAGCTCTCTGCATACGCAACTGTTGTTCCATTTTCTCTTTGATCTCCTCCGGTGTTGCTTTACCACTAACAAGTTGGTCACCCAACCCTGTGGTCGATCCTGCATTTCTGTTAGAACCAGCACCTGCAGATTGTGGCTGACCCGATCGACTCCTAGTAATAATCTGGGCATTAGCCTTCTCTAACCTGGAGAGGACACACATCAAGCGGAGGGTTAGTATCAGATGGTGTTAAACAGGGATAGGTCAGTCATTGAGTGATTTTATCAGGTGAAAGTGTCAGGTGCTGAATGCAACTTGTATTATCACGCTGATTGCCATGTCACTGCTTCAATGTTATCTAATTTTCATGATCGCTGAATTGGCAGCCAACGTGTTAAGTTTTATTATTATCGAGTTATCCAGAAAATGTAGTCGAAAGAAGTAATCAATGTGAAGATAGTTTTAAAAGTTGACTAAAATTGTTAGTTATTTTGTACTGGCATACCTGTCACCGTATTGTTTAATTTCCCACAATTCTAATTTATCTTCATCAACCCACTCCTCTGTAACTTGTGGCTCTGTGCTTTGTGGCGATTCTGGTCGTTTTCTTTTTCTAAGACCGCTTCTTATGGACGTTACCTCTGTGAAATGTAAAAATTTATATCGAGATCGTAGCAATATCATCGATCTACTCATTATACAAACCTCTGATTTGTTTAGGCAGTTCCAAAGGTATAACAACCTTCCTGCGTAAGTACTGTGTTTTATCTAGAAATTGGCCAACATGACGATGCTTGAGTATTTCTAACGACATGATTTCTGTGTCCGTTGTAATCTGGTGTTTGCCATCCGTGGATAACGGCTTTGTGGCCATGTCGTCCCATCGAAGACAGGCCCATAATATTCTTAACTGCAGAGCTGCCGCGGACAGTGATTTGATTCCCACTGTTCGGTATAACCAACATGTTTTAAAAAGTGGTCTGGGACATGGATATGGCCAAACAGACATGTTTGCCTGTAATAAAACTCGTGTTAGCCGGATACGCGAACTTTCCTACCGTTGATAGCAATATAATCAAGTATACCTTAGCCACATGATGGAATCCATGAACTGGCATTCGTCCACCGACTCTAGCCAATTTTCGTAACTCGTGTTGCGGAAGCAATAATATACTACGATGCTTATTCTTTGTGCAAAATGTGGAACACAACGGATACTTGACAGGGGTACGTTTCTTTTTCCTATCTGCTAAAGAAATTGAAACTTTCTTCAAGTAAATCTTTCCCTCGGTTGAAACAGCGCTGTAAACTCTTTCTGTGCCATCTGCATTCAATTCTTTGGCAACAGTACTCCTCTGCACGGTTCTGCCTCTTCGATTGACAATCGTGGTCTTCTGTCCCGTGCTATTAACATAACAATATCGTTGAATTAAACTCAATCTCCACATGCTAGTGTAATAAAAAAAAAAACAAAAAAAACGGAAAATTATATTCATTACCTAGTTTTAACTTCAGATGAAAAGGAAACTGAATTTTTAGAAGATGTGTTTTCCTTCATACTCTGTACTACACCGTCTACAGTCTTTACAGTTTGCTGTGTCGTAGTTACCGTAGTAGTTGTGACCACACTACTCGTTGTAGTTGTCACCACATCTACGTTTCCTGAACTCGCGTCGTTGTCCGCTTTCTGATTAGGTTCGACTTTCATTTTCTTCGCAGGCGGTGAAGTTACGTCTCGGACTACGTTGGTAGCTGGTGTTTCTTCCTTGCAGTGCGTCGCCAACGCCACCGCGGACTCCAGATCCTTTTTAATTGCTTCTTTGCTCTCGTCACTGCCTTCTATTTTAAGTGTACTCTGTTGTGCTTGTGCGGTGGTCGTATTAACCACTAAAGCGGCCGACGACTGATTATTATTCAAAGCATTGGCCTTTCTTAACAGTGATATAAGATCGCGTTTTAATCTGGCCTTCTGAAGACATATAGGGGAATAACATGTAGATGTTAAACTCTGCGTTGTACTGCCGATCTTCCCGGGTGGAGTCGTCATATTGCAATATCGCGAATAACAATTTGTGTTCTTGGTGAGTCTCATGATATTTGCGTACTGCGCTTTGTCATGCTGAATACGCTTTCCTATTACAGCCAGCATCTCTCTTGCCGACGTAGATATCGTTTTACTAGGTTGCTTTCCAGTGAGTATACTTTGCAGAGTATGTTCGCCACCGTCCGTATCGCTTTCTTCGTTATTTTCAATATCTACTTCGGATTCTCCATCAGTCTTTTGACTCGCAGATTGATTCTGCTGCTCTTTTGATTTCTCCTGAAAAAACAACTACATATTAATTCGAGAAGAAAAAATAATAAAATATAACTAGATGCTTGAAGTTCAGTAGACTCCTTCTGCCAACGTTATATTTACACTAACAGTCTGTAATAATCTCCTTTCCTCCAGAAGCTTCAAGTGTGTTCTACGCGCTAGGAAATCGTCAATCCTAGATTTTTTCGCAATTTTTGGATAATGGAGTCTCCCGTTAGTAGTCAGTGCTTTAGTGATGTCGATTTCCTCGAATTCTTTGATCGGAGTGAAAACCTTTTCGATTTTTATACCTGCTAAGACTGTAACAAATAAAATAAATTATTAATATATAGTTTATGCACGAAACTAAAATCTGTTTTACAATACGTACATGACAAATGCATTTTTGATTCTTGTTTAACTGATTTGGAATCTGTTTCCTCTGTCTTTGTGGTTGTGTCCGCATTCTTCTTGTCCTCAATCGGTTCAGACTTTACATCTTCTGCTTTGCATTCTTGTTTCACCGACGTATCCATACCATCTTTGGAGGATTCTTCCTCCTTGATCTCCTTCTTAATCTCTACTTCTGCGTTTTCTTCCTTCTTCGATGGGCAATATTCCTTAATCAAAAAATCATACGTGGGAGGATCCAAAGCTAATATCTTCAGTCCCTCTTGATCTCTGATTTGCACCATGACTTTTTGTGGACCCATTCGTAGACCTAATTTCGTCATATCGGAGAGTTTGTAGCGGCGACTAGCAGATACCCATAGCCAACCGCCTTGTCCGTGGATTCTGTACTCTTCCCCTTTCTGCTTCCATACTTGATGTTTCAAGCCTAATGTGTATTTTACAAAATTAAACAAACGGTTCCGTTCCTCTTCGTCCTCCCTCTCCTTCTTGTCTTTCTTATCCTGACGCTTCTTCTCTTCTCTTTCGAGAGCCGTTACTCTTTGCAACTTCACATGTCCAAGCTGATCGTGCCATACGCTAGCAAACACTACTGACTTGATGCACGCCTGCAATACAATGAGAGCTCGCGCAAAGTCTCTGGGATTTATGCATGCGCCTACTGCCGTGGTCCAAGGTTTACGTAGAAGAGGCCAATTGGTGTGCATGTATGGTGCTTGAATGCTACTTTCAAGTTGGAGGATCGTTTGACGGAGCGTACTAACTAGAAGAGCTCGGGTTCCAGTTAAACTTCCCACCCATTTGAACTCAGAAGCCTGAGTGAGCGAGAATTTGTGTGATAAGTGTCTCTTCTTGTCGCGTTCCTCATTGCGCTGTGCTTTGTTCAGAGCAATAGGATTGGTGCTGTACTGGTTCACATACGACTTGAAGTTGTTATCCATTCCCAACTTGAATAGGTGAGTACCAGAAGCTATTTGGTGGGCTTTCTGCCTTGTTAATCGTGTACCGTCTCCCTCTTCTTTTAAACTTTTGTCCAACTTTTCTAATTCTTCTTTCGATATTTGTGTACCGGGACGTCTCTTTAAATCGTCCATATTAAATGTTCTAGGCTGTAAAGACCCCGTTTTTGATCTCGTTACGATCGTATGCTTCTTACCTGTGGAATTAATAAACTCGTCAAGTAATGAAATCATATTTTACCGAACACATGAAATTGTATAACATACCATCTTTGCCGATTTTCGAGATACCGTCTTCCCCTTCCAAAGCCTCTTCATCGATTTCTTCAGAGGATGAAGTAGATGTTTTTACATTTTTATTCGCTGCATCTAAATCAGTATCTACGCTATCTACTTCTACATTTTCTGCAACCACTTCGGGAGCATTTTCTTTTGTAGATGACTCTTCAGCTGGCTTTGCGTCTTGTTGATCTGTTACAGCTGCAAGCTGTGCTTCAAGAGAGTCCGAACCCTCGTGTATTCTACGCACCATATCCTCAGCTTCTTGTCTCTGCTTTTCTTTTTTATCTTCTTCTTCTTTCTCTTGCTTTTCCTGTCGTTCTTTTTGCAATTTCATTATGAGACCTAAAAGAATTGAGATGTTGAATCTTCTTGGAAATTCATGGAAACATACATATAGAAAAAGATATACTTGAACTTACTATTTTCTACTTCTAGATACGATTTCTTGTTACCCTTAAACTGATTAGTAATTGATTCTGTGAGTTCCATTTGTCGTACAATTTCATCTTTGTAATCTGATAATTCACGATATAGTGCAACTTCCATTTCGGTACGATCTAATGTAAGCAATAATTCGTCCAATTGTAAAGGCGTGCTATAATACCAAACCTCACCATTGTCGCTTTCGCTGTAATGAATATGACGATTACAATATTAACACAGAAAGAATATTTGAGCAATACACCAAATTTTTCGATCACTTGTGACTTACACAAAAACTCTTCTAGCAAGAAACCAATATTTTCTGCCATGCCTATCAAATCCTAAATGTTCCTGACGACATAGTGAACCATTCTTCTCAACATCAGGTATACAATCCGCAACACCAGATACTTTATGAGCTTTACATGTACTACATTGCCAATCCTCTGTAGGAACATCGACTAATGGAGGTTCAACGCATTCTAAATGAAAAACTGCTGGGCAGGTTTCACAACATAACAAATCTCCCAAACGGTGACAAACTCTGCAGTGGTCGTCATAATGCATATTTCCTACAAAAGCAAATTTAATATGAAGAAAGAAAAATTTGTTAAAGAGAAAGAAAAATGATAAACTTTACAGCATGGACACATTCATTTTTCCTGCTGATTTAATAAAGTATTTCTGTTAGATAAACGTGGTAAAATTACATGAAATATTGTATAAAATATACCTTCATGTAGCAGATCTTCTCTTACAGGATTTGTGATTAAAAACTGATCTGTTAAAAATTGAAGCACTTTGATTCTGTCCTCGATGGAGGTAAATGGGTATTCGCAAGTCGATAAAATTTGTAGAATATTTTCATCAAAACACTTGTCGCTTTCTACATAAGAACGTAGCACTTCTGGCCAAGACATAGGATCCACAAAATACAAACTAACGTTTACGGAGTCTTTTTGATCAAGGGGACCAAAGTGTGTCTGCTGAGAATCCTCTTCCCTAAGAAGAGCTTTGATTAGCATGGTATGTATCTCCGCCAGTAAGTTGGTTTGATCCTCGCAAATAAGGGCAGCACAGAAATCCTCAAACCTAAAGGCCGATAAGCGTACCAGTGTACGAAAGTGTCTTAACACTTCGTAGATCGATAAAGATGGCATAACATATTCCTTAGGGACTAGTAGGTCGTCCGAAGATTTAGGTAGGGTCAATGCTGGCAATTCCCTATTTTGAAGCCATAGCGGTTCTGGGCTCGGCGGCCTTTGTTGACTCAGCAATGTTTTACGGGGAGTGCCACTGGTGGTACTATAACTAGAGAGGGAAAAGTCACTGTCACTCGATGGATCTGGTTCTTCTATACTTTCTGATGACTCCACATCGCTTTGCAGAGGGTCTTCTTCTACTTCACTCTTTTCACTGGATTCGTCGCCGAAATCCGATCCGTAATGGTATTCAGAATCGTTATAATCAACATTAGTATTGTAACCTCGGCGATGATACACTCCAGAACCTGAGTGGCCACCCTTACGCGAATGTCTTTCTCTGGGTCCCCGTGATTTTCGAGTCCTGGTGCTTCGCCTACTCTCCTCGCTTTCAACTGGTGACGACGGCCTCGATGGTGTTGGCGTGCTCGGTTGTGAGTTTGGCGTTTCCGAACCCTTGTTTTGCAAATATTTTGGCTTCTTCATCAGATGATACTGAAACTTTTTCGGCCTTTCCATGACCACCGACTTGGGGGGTCGGCCCCGTCTCTTCGACCCTCTCCCCGTCATTGTCCGTCACGCACTGTCAACGAAATGGCACTTACTTAACACGTGGTTTGTGAAAACGCGCGCTTGTAAACAAATACAAATGACACCGTAGCAATGAAATGGAACTCATGTTTGTACTCTGATCTTTGCGCCATTTTTCGGCTACGGTCACGTGACCAAACACAATTCTTTCATGATCAACTGCTTGATACGATCTCGCGTGGCTTCTATTTTCCTATCGACGAACGACGATCACCCGCCCACAATAATAAAAACCCGATTTTCCAACCGATAACGACGAAACTATGTACGGAAAATCATTCACTGACGCGAGTGTAAAGGGTATTTACAATATCGAATCCTTTAAGAGAGCGCCGTTCCAATTGGTTCATTGAATCGCCGCCATGTCTGGCCTCGAACGCATCTACTTAAAATCTAGACGAAATCTTCGATGAAATTTCCTCGTTCGCTGTTCGGAATAATCTACGGCTCGATCGCATCCCCTGCGATCGTGTTTCAATGGGATTCATGCGATTTGGGAACCGTTTGATCGCTTTTTAATTTCTCACGAAACGTACGGAAGATCCAATCGCTTTCACCGTAACTACACAAAATCCTGTCAGATCAACAATAGGTGGCGACATGCGCGGTTGGAAAAACGCGTATTCTAACCGCACTTCCGATAAAAACCTTCGCTTTTTCCTCGTTCTGTTTCCTTCCCTTTGCGTCCGTTCACACGTATTTTAATTCACCGGAGTTTTTACGGGCCACAAATCGTGCAGCTACATAATTCGTGAACCCAATTACACGAATTCTCTGTTACCCGCAAGAGAGAAATCTAACCTTAGTTCGAGAGAAGCTTCGACAGAGGACACCACCTGACCTCCAATTTCTCGTATCTCGTTATGTCGGTACAGATTTTTTTAACATGTACCATCGTATCAATTAAAAATTATCATGTTTTTTAATAGAGAACATTTTCGACATGTTTGTCGGGTAAATTTTTCAATCATTCATTTGTGGCGTTTTTCAGAGAAACAAGCGACTAACGCGACATCTTCGACGTTCGAAACAAGAATTGTGTAATGTTCAAACTCGAATCTCGTACTGTCTATTCAATTCTTATAAAAGTCACAATTATCGATGCTTTCCGTTTGTACATACTCAATTATATTATACAAAATTAAGAATTCTATTTAGGAGTTAAATATGTAAACTTAAAAAACGTGCATAAGAATGGAAACAATTGATATATTACACGAATAATCCCTATTAATACCACAAATAAAATTTTACTTATAGATAAACATATATAAACGTTTCAACAACAAAATCATAACTCACAAGTGCAGTTAAAAGACATCAATAATTTCTAGTAATGCTTGCATTGACATTTTACTATTCCTGTTTCCTTAACTACTTTGATACCTTCGCATTAAAAAGAAATGAAGAACTTGTTTCTTTGGATCGAATAATTCGCTGAACACGTAAACATAATTTTGCGATCTATCATGTGGAGGTTAGATGTAAAAATTTGAATTGGAGCAACGAGATTTCTGCATCATATAATTTTACGAAGAGTTACGGCGCCATCTTTGAAAGCGGATGTCGGCGTTGGTCAGTGGTTGTTGGAAAGTCGGCAGCGGCGACACAGGGATACAGGATCGAGATGGTGACAGGTGGTGGGGGATGAAAGAAAAATGGCTGTCTAACGAAAATCGAGAAATACAAAAGACGAGCGAGAGTGTGATGATCAATTGTGAGCACGAATTATTGTTTTTTTTTACGAATTAACGAACGCCGAGACGAGCGAAATGCGCAATGAAATGGCGATGTACGCCTTGAAACCGGTTGTCACTCTTCCGGACACGTTGCATCACTCGAAAACGATGTACCAAATGCGAAATATTCACAAGGAACGATCCAGGGACGACCATACGGAAGCCGTGGACAAGATCGTGCCTGATATCACAGAGCAGGTTATCAGCTTTTTGAAGGTTTTCATCATTTCTGTTCCTCATTCCGGCACGAAGACGCGCATTACGCTAATTATACTAAAATCGAATGGTTTTTTACTCACGCTTCGATCGTGCATGGTAGCTTCGAGCCTTTCCTCTGTCTCGAGCTTGTTGTGCATGACTCCTCCCAAAATTTCCACAAGCACTAATCACGATCGACCGGGAATATGGTTCTACAGGCTTGATCGATGCGTGCCCCTCCAATTTTTCGTCTAACAGGACACTACCGCGGCTACCGTGCACGAAAAATTCGGTTCGGTCAAAGGATAAGCGGGAAACGCGGAGATAATTATTATAGAAGAAGGGCAAGCTTACTAAATTAGAACTGCACTGAAAGCTACAAAGTACAGTTGTATAACCAAACACACAGAAAACGTAACCCACTGTTATGTGTGCACCATGTAGCTGTTTACTGGTCTCAATCAACAATGTTACTGGTCAACTGTCAAATCTATAATCCATGACTCTTGTACCTTTTTTTCAGAAAAATTTTTTGCCATCATGCATCCATCACAAATGTACAGTGGATGAAAAAAGTATTTGGACAGTCAGATTTTTTGCAGTAATGTAAACTGGAATTCTAGCATATTTGTGTGTGTGTTTTTAATGATTTGTTATATACAGAAATAATTTACTAGTTTATAGAAACACTAGTAATTTGTCATTGATAAATAATGTGAAAAGAACAAAAATTATGTAATTAAAAAAGTATTAACACACTCTACATTTGTGTAGTTTCATATACTCGGGGAACATTGTGAAGTTGTTGCTGCAATGCATAGCGATATAACTGTTGCACATGTAATAAAACCATATTTTATTTCAGAGTCCATTACCGGAATATAGTTTGTTGGAAGAAAGACAGGAGAAAATACTGGCTCAGCTTGCGGATCTCAAGAAACAGGTTTTAATCCTATGTAATTTATTAAAGCGAACCAATCAGACTGCAGTGGTTGATAAAAGCAACGAAAGTCAGGTAGTACTCCATTAATCAATTTTTTAAAACACAGAATTACAACCATAATATATTGCTATTAATTTTCTTAGGATGCAGTGGACGTAAACTTTGTCATAAATGTGAACCCAAAAATGGTTCCTTACTCCACATTAGCTTTACAACGAGTGTGGATGGACACCGATATTAGAGTACAAACTTATGTTCACTCGAGTATCAATGAAGAAGTTCCTCCATTTGATCAGTCAGTTTCACAGTTTCCTAGGAAAAATCTTATCAAGTTACAATTGATCTGGAAAGATGGTAAAATTTATTTATAAGAGCAGTTTAAGCGATCTTGAGTAAATGCATTTTTATGCATATTTTTATTTACAGTTGCAGATCTTGAACTTGTAACTGGCCTACATGGTTACACCATAAACGGTGAAATCAATTTTTTAAGATACATTAGTAGGCTAATAAGCTCACATAATTATGAGAACTCCATGTGCCCAGAAAATGTAAATAGAATTGACTCGATATTAGATTTGTGCCACTCGATACATTTTCAAAGTACATTGAAGAAAAAGCAGGAATTACTTTCATTATTAGTTGATAAGTTAAATAATTTGTCTGATGAAACGGAGCCTGATATAGCAGACATTGCAGTATGGAGCACAATTAAACAAGTCTTTCCGAAATGTCCGCCAATACTCGAAAAGTGGTTCGCAACTTGTGAGAAACGTTTTTATCAATAAACATTTTGTACTATGTATATATTCGATTCCTTAATTTCGGAGGTCAGAAGTACAATAAGGCACTATCAATAAAATTGCATAAATTTTATTAAAAGATTAACATGTATTTGAAATATCTCGTACATGTATATTATGCTTCGAATGCGCTTTGATTAAATATGCTATCGGTACATAGAAATGTATGAACTATTTTCATTCTTCAACTAAAGTATTTATTGGCAGTGTTGTAGAGATTTTTCGGAATAAAAAAGTTACTTTGTTATGACACAGGACGGTAATGACGACAAATACTAACAAATAGTAAAATTAACGCTATAATTAACTGAAACTAGAAAGCAAGTCTTTCAACTTATAGAACGACGCGTCCAAAATACAAACTTGCTGTCTAGCTTATGACACATGTTAATCTCATCCTACGATCGTTATCAAAATTATTCAACTTTCAACGTTAATTTTAAGGATAATTTATCAATTTTTAATCATAGCTGCCACTGAATCATTAATCATAATCTTATATTTTCAACACAATGTATATTGTTCGTAACGAATTTCTAAATTTCACTGCATATTGTCACAGAAGAATATTTCTCATAATTTATCTTTCTTTTCTAGCATTATGAAATGTCATGTATATTTTCTTTGTGTATTGTTACTTATTATAAAATTGATACTAAACAAAGAAAAACATTTCATATATGTATCAATATCAGTCTGAAATGCTTTTCAATCGTAGTATGTTTTTCGTCTATGGAAGAGTAATGACGGTGAGTCAAATCTTTTGTGGTAAAAAAAAAAGTAGCTGTTCTAAATCAAGTAGAACTGGGTATGATGATGTTTTGCAATACTGTATGTATGGTATTATATGCTACAGATGAATTAATATTATTGCTGAATGTTGAACCAGTTGCGTATAAAACATACGCAATGATATTAAAGCCAGAATGCTTTTTTCAAGATTTAAAAAAATAATGAAAATAGCTGATAAGTATCTATTCCAAGAAAAGATAAATTATACGTTACCTATCGATTATTCAGCATGATATTTTGTCCTAACATTGTCGAAGCTGTACACTAAGTGTACAGTTGTCGTATCAGTATATATCACTAATTCGTAGTTAATATAAGTTTTTTATATACAGTATATATTATAATAAGAAGTCCCTTATAAATACTTAGAAATGCACGCGCAGTCGCATCCTGCATAAACATCCGTGTTTTTTTACTATTTATTCAGTACAATATTTATCAGACTCGGATATCTTCAGTAAAAATGAAAGTCCTTAAAAAAATGATATGATAGGCCTGATTGTGAATAATCTATTATAAATCTACGTTGATTTCTTATACTTTATAATTTTTCTTCTATTCGATATTCTGCATTAGAAATATTAAACGAAAATCTTTTTCTTTTCAATGTATATTGGAAAGCTTTAAACAGGAATTGCAATTGGATTTCCCGTTCATCATATTAATTTAGTATTCAAAATATTGTTTCTTTTCAATTTTTATAATTATTCGATGATTCCTGGCAATTTTCCTTACCATGCCATTCCTTGTTCAGTTAATAATATTTACTCTACCGTCTTCTTTTTTCGAATACATTCAATAGATGGCTTAGAACAGTGTTCCTCTTACAGTTAAAAGAATGCAATTATTTGCATTATATTTAGAGATCCGTGCAACAACTCTGATTCAGATTCACTTAATAAAAGTAAAAAATATTCATTATACACAATATGATCTTAACTAGCATTATAAATAATATGTATCTCAATATATCACAACATGGTGGTGCCAAAAGCATTTAAAATTACTATCCGAAGTGTTAGCGTGTGTGAAACACTCGTGAACACGTGTTTCAACATAAGTCTTTAACTCTGTGTGGGTATGTGTGTGTTCATTCCAGTGCCGAGAGTTATCAAAAGTTCTACCAATCTATATTTTTTACCCTACGGGAACGACCAAAATTTTAACAAACCAGTCTCTCTTCGTGTATATATCGATTTCAAAATTTCTCTTCTATAGCAACAATTTTTAACTTCGAATTACCGTAACCGATCCCGCGTCCGGCACAACTTCGTCCTAACTTAGTCCCTCGCGTAACGATTTCGAACATTATTGTTACGCTATACCGGCACCCTATCTACTTAATAAAAGCTTTATGTCCTCAGTATTAAAAATCATTTATACGAACGACGAAAAACCGGGCAAAGGCGCTCTCGACCTCGCCATATTATTCATAATAATTTGACCTCCGTTCAAGCTGACAACGGCACTGCCTTCGGGCTCGGAGTCGGTGTACGACGAATAATTCCTAACTGGTTTCTGTCGCTTCCACGACTGTCTTAAAGAATCATTCACGTTAGCGTAATGATTCACAAAGGAATGTGGGTCCGACTGGACACTTTCATTCTCACTTTCAGATCCCTGTAACAGAAAGCGTGACAATGAAAAGTGTTTGCTGTATCTTTTAGTATTATATGGACATTACTTGCCTGTGAATCTGTCGAACTAATTTCGGAAGGTTTTTCTGTAACACTACTGTCATCAGGATTCTCATCGTAACCCTTTAGACTCTCCTCATCGCTGTGATAAGCGACTGACGCTGGCGAGGGCCTGGGAGGTGATTTACCTAACATTGTAGGAGGAGGTGGATGCATGGACTTCCTTGCCAAAGTGCTCCTTTTGCCCAAGGTACCGCAAGCATTGCCCATATTGATGGCACCGCCTCCTTGCCTTGATCTGTAAAGCTCTAAATCAGACTCTTGTCTATCGTCTGTATCCATCGCCATGGACTCCTCTAGTGTCTTTTGTGCTTCTTCTGAAATAATCATTCTTGATAAGATTGCTATGCGCATAACAAATGTACAAATCGTATCATGTTTTGAAATACATACGTTTATATTTGTAACTTTTACTTTTCACGCATAGCACCGCTATTACCATTATGATGATTATAATCGAGGCTGCAGCTAAAGTTACCATGAACCATGTTTGCCTGTAGAATGGTCTGTGTTGTAGATATGCATATTCAAGATATAGCTTCGAAGGAGTTAATATCTGTAACAATGACAGAATAATTAGTGTTTAGAATTTTTACTTAGAATTTTTCCTATATTTGCGATGTTATATTATTTACCGTTTCCGTCGAATACGCTGGATAGCTAATCCCATAGCGGTTGTACGATATCACTCTAAAGAGATATGACGTAGATGGAAGCAGATTTTGATAAGATATCGAATATTCTGTCAATGGTCCATTACTGCTGCGCACTATTGTCTGCCAACGACTGTCATCTATAAACAGAAATACATATATAATATTTGTCTTAGTTTCACAGCAAATGTCGCAACGCAGTCGAAAACTCCTGCAGGTTTTCTTAGAGCTGTGTATAGCAATAGAATAGAAAATACAATACACTCCTTCTGTCGCAGAAGATTTTGGTTCTATTGCTACTCAATATTTAATTTACGTCCTCTAATGTGGCCGACTCAAATTTCGAACATGAAAACTTGCACAGTTACGTTTCATTTTCTATATTACACGTTTGTGGGGCGTTAATGAGATATTAAATGTAGGGGACTGGTAATGTTCAAAGACGGTAGGAATACTGTTATCTAAACATTCAAACTTCAACTATCCAGTTGGTTACATTAAACAGCAGCATTCAAAGTCAAGATTCTTGATGAATGTCTAAGTAGAATCCATGGAAAATGTCATGCTATGACATCATCATGCAGTCAATAGTACAAATACCACTAACGAAAATATAATCACATATTATTATAAATACAAACAGGAAGCCGTATTGTAACACTAACAAATCATATTATACTGCTGAGACGATCTAACACAATAAACTGACGCTCAATATATTTACGTGCATTGACACTTACAATGCTGCCACTCTTCCATCGCTACACCATTACAAAAAAGATAGTATTAGTAGATAAAATAATATGTTTCTCGGAGCTTCTGCTATTTTGTTCAAATTCTCGACAATCTATTTTCACAATTTTTAATTGTATAGCAATGATGTAACAATACTTTGAGTCCTCACCTTTCCGACGTGTTTCAATGTAATATCCTAAAATAGGTCCTTTTCCGGAAGCACCATTAGTCCATTGTAATTCAACGCTAGACACTGTCTTGGTGACAGCAAGATTGGTAGGTGCCACTGGTGAACCTTCTTGTGGTCCCGTAGTGACATTTCCTGATATGGGTGGCCCAAAGTCAATGGTCTGAGCCCGAACCATGAAGGTATACGTTTCCTCCTCTTCGAGAGGTTGGATCAACAAACTAGTCTCTGTTACCTTCTGCTTAACTTGTTTACTGAAACCTAAAACAATGGGGAACATTGTAAATCGCTAATTACATGAAACGGTAAAGACAATTTAAGAGACGTACGGTCATTTTGCTCTGCAGTTTCATAAGTGACTATGTAACCAACTATTTCACCGTTCCGTGATTTCGGCGCTTCCCAAGAGACACGCAGACTGGTCATTGTTATCTCTGAGAACTGGAGATTGTGAGGTGGTCCCGGTATATCCTACAATGTTAATATCCGAATAATTAATAGGTTGAACCAAAAATAATTTCCACAGAATAATTGGAATTGTTGTTTAACATACCTGTTTGGTTCTGACAGTGATTGGTGGAGATCTAGGACCATCACCAGCAGGATTAAACGCTAACACTTGAATGCGATACTCCGTGTATTTGTCCAGGAAAACTAAACTATGCGTTAAATAGGAAGCCGGTACAACTTCAATTTCCTCCTCTAGTTTGTTCTCTAATTCTTGAGGGGAGTCGGTTACCAGATAAAAGATCTGAAATTGGAAACAACAGATAAGTACATCTGTGAAATCGATAAATAGTAACTGATAGATAACAACAATTACTTTGTATCCTAATAGGTCTCCGTTCTGCATATTAGCTTGCGGTGGTTTCCACCGTAAAAGTACTTCTGTCGATGAAATTGGTTCGGCTTTTAAATGTTGCGGTTCTCCAGTTGGAACTGCTTCTCCAACGTACACGGTCACTGGAGGACTTGAAGGACCTTCCCCTTCAGAGTTGAATGGTAGTACAACGACTTCGTAATACCTGTCCTCGGTTAGGTCACTTAGCACAATTTTTGTAGCTTTTATTCCTAGAATTTCTTCTTTCGGTGTATCCTGAAGAGCAGTCGGGAAATCGGAAACTGGTTGATAGATGACTCGGTAGCCACCTGTAGCATGATCCCCGCTCCAATATACTTCATCTATAGCGTTCCAGTGGACTTCTATACTGGATGTTGTTATCGGTACAACTTTCAGGCCGCTGACACCACGAGAAGGAGCTGTAAGCAAGCATTACAATAAATTAATTTGTTACCTTAAAGATATTCGATAAAAAAAAACACAAAATTATATACCTGCTGGTAAAGTTTGAACCTCAATGGACTCTGTACTCCAAGTCGATGGACCTATGTCGTTGGTAGCCTGTATTCTGAACTGATAAAGTGTAAACGGTTTCAGATTATTCGCTGTGTAAGACGTTAACGTTGGCTCCACTCTTTCAGGAATTGTTTGAAACGGTCCAGAATTTTCCGATTGTTGCACCGTATAGTAACTGAAAAGTGAATAATTTTTCATGCAAATGTTCTTCATAGAATTATCAATTTTGTATGCAGAACGAGAATAATCACCGCAGCGGTGCAAATCCATCGCGTCCAGGTGTCCAAGAGAATGTAATTTGCCGACTTTGTACTTGAGATCTGCTGACTTGAGGCATCGATGGCGCCTGAGGCCGTTCCCTGTTGTTTGTAGTGAAAACAAGGGCGTACGCTGTTTTACCCCAGCCCAACCTTGTCTGCGCTGTCACAGAAAACATGTAATACTTCTCTGGCTCCAGACTAGTGGCTCTGAAAAATGTATAAAAAGGGAGGACTTAGTAAACCTTTACCTCTATATAAAGCGGTGCATGAAGACCGAAAGGCAAAGTAGGAATAATCAATCGTACCTAAAAGTTCGATCGGACGCAGGGAATTCTTTGGAAAATTGATGATCCTGACTACTATTTAAATGGAACATAACTTTGTACGCTAAGATCTCTCCGTTCGGGTCTTCCGGTGTATCCCAAATAATGCGGGCAGTAGTGAAACTTACATCAGGGAATGATACATTCGATGGAGGTCCCGGAGCTGAAATATTTAAAGTTCATTATTTGCTTTTGCCGAAGGAGAATGCAGACACCGTACTAATTAATAAAACATACCATCTTCAAACGTTTGTACTCTTACAGGAGGGGTGCTCAATGTGCCATCGCCAAGTCTCGTATAAGCTAATACTTGTACATGGTATTGGACAAACTTCCTAAGCTCTGTTAAAGTGGTCGTAAAAGTAGTATTACTTGGAATGTTTTTGTATTGGAATGCAGATCTAGCATTTGCGCCGTAGTAGACTTTGAACCCTTCTATTTGTCCGTTTTGATGCTCTATGGGAACATCACCCCATTTTACTAGTATAGTCGTAGAAGAGGTCGCGTTTGCTTCTACATTGATGGGACCCATTGAAGGAACTAAAAATGGCGATATATACCTCAATATTTAGAAACAATTTACGATGAAATCATACGAACATGTCCTACCTGCTTCTCGAGTCCTCTCAATGGCTTTAGGGCTTACCGTAGAAGACCCAACGTCGTTAAACGCTTGCATTACAACCTCGTAGAGAGCGTACTCTTCCATATTTTCTAACACATAAGAGTTTGCCGTGTGGTCGTCTATAGTTATGCTTCTCGACTTATTCGTTCTTACTTCTGTGTAAGTGACGTTGTACCCTCTCGGGTTACCGTACCATTCTATCTGTTGCAGTGGCTGCAAAAGATAAGAGTCAAGTGATATTACAGGTGTAGGTTCTACAGTCTACATAAGGATTACAAATTCTGATAAGAAAACTCACAATCCACCTAACGCGCAATTCCGTAGCGCTCATGGCGCGAACAGTAACATTTCTGGGAGGGTGAGACGGTGGTGCTTGAATCGTTTGGAACTCCTTCGTTGGCTCCGATGGTTGAGAAGCACCGACAACGTTATTAGCAATCAGTCTTAGTTTATATTGCATAAAAGGTGTCAGGCCGCCCACGGTAATTGTACTAGCATCAGGGTCTGAGACTTCGTAAATATTGTACCACGTGGTATTTCTAGTAGTCTGTGCTTGCACAGTCCATTTGGTTATGGATGAGTTGCCGTCGAAACCGGGAGTGAACTGAAGTACCACAGAGAACGCGTCTATATTCGATAGTGCTAATTTTGTAGGTGGTTCTGGCAGGACAGGTTCAACGCCTGATTGAATGATGGCGACCTTTGGCTTGCCAGGACCCACCGAAGTCCAAGCAACCACTTCAAACCTGTAATGAGTCATTGCCTGAAGATGCTCGATTTTAGCAGACAGAATGTCGGCTGTATAGTTATCGGCCTTCAACGAGTCCGGCACATCTTTGATCATGTACGTCAACTGGTAACATGTGAGGTTCCCGTTGATCTCTTGCGGAGCACTCCATTTAACGGTGAGCGAGCGATCACTGATGTCCTCGAACTGTAAATTTTCTACTTCTTCAGGTACATCTTCGCGCGTGCGAATTTTGTACGGTGTACTTTTTTCACCATCGCCCGGATCAGTGAAGCACAATACAGTAACGTTGTACACGGTGTATTTCTTTAAACCAGTCATAACAGCACTCTGTTCCGCGAGAGGATCGAATAAGCTAGGAGGCACAGTCATTGACTTATACTCGTTCGCCTCAGTGAAGTTCCCACCGATCCAGGCTTGCAATTTGTAGCCCTGGTTGATGCCATTGATCTTCTGAGGATTCGGAGGCTTCCACCAAACCTTGATCGCCGTCGAATTCATAGCCTTCGCTCTCACGTTAGTCGGCGGAGCTTCGGGCACTCCTTCTTTAGTTTTGATCTTCAAACCCTCCGTAAATATGCCGACACCCTTATCGTTGTAAGCTGCTATTTGTACGATGTAATCCTTCCATGTAATTAAATCAGTGATCAGATAGTTTCGTTGAGCTTCGTTGGTGATATTCTGTATGGTCCAAGGACTTTCGTTGTAACCAAATAGTCTGTATCTTAATATGTATCCTAAAATATGGCCGTTTCGATATTCCTCCAGAGGAAGCTGCCACTGTGTTATTATCTCTGAAGAGGATCTGGCTGAACCGACAAATCCTACTGGCGGTCCACTTGGAGCTAAATATAATTATATATATAATCTATCTATCTATTAATAATATATATATAATATTCTAATATATATTATTAATATCTACTCACGTTCTTGAGGTAGAGCCACCACGTTGCTCGGATCAGAAGGTGGTCCTTCGCCAACACTATTCTCCGCACTGACTCTGAATTGATAAGCAGCGGCTGCTTTTAGATTGTTCAGCAATACCCAACGGCTCTGCGCGGAGACATTGTCGTTCTCGGTGATCCAATTCAGTGCGTTGTCGGGGATGGGTCCTGGATGAATGAAAATTTAATAGCATATAAAGTGCTATTTCAGTTCAAGCTAGAACGTAACCGGTGCCAATTTACCAAGATCGGAGACTTCTCTCCTCTGAATGATGAATTTCTTAGTTGGACTGTTTCCATCGAAGCCTGGGACCCAGCTAACGTTTATAGTGCGTGGAGATATCTTCTCCACTCGGCTGGCCATGACATTGATCGGTGCAAAAGGCAGTTCAATGACGCTAAGACGGGCAGATCGAGTCTCATTTCCTCCAGGAGATACTACTGAACACATGTACTCGCCTACGTCCGATGCTCTAACAGCAACTATCTCCAACGTTCCGTCACTGCGCATCTTCACCCTTTGACTGGCTTGTGTGTTTATTACTCTGCAGGAATTTATTAAGAGACATTTTCAGAATTGATATATAAATAAATAGATATACAATTGTTAGTACACGTACTGTGAATTGTGGAACCAGGCTATATCGAACAAAACGCTCGGATCGTTTGAAACTTTGCACTGCAGTTCTGCAGTGTACCCAAGGAGCACAGAGGTATCAACAGGTGGTTGGACAATCTGCGTTCGCACTGAAATAAACGGTGTTACGTAGCTTTCAGGCAAGATTTTTACGTCTTTATACGAAAGAAAACTTCTCTGTGCGATTACAAAGCAAAGAAATTTCTAGAAAAAATACACTGTTATATTTAATTTATTCAAATTTTTAAGAACCGTTTCTCACCCAAAACCGTAAGGAACGCGGAGCCATTTACAGAGCCAGCTTCATTGGCTCTGATGCAAGTGTATTTTCCAGCGTCATTTGGCTTCACAGCGGCAATTAAAAGATCCCCGTTATCTAAAACCTGTACTCTTCCGGCAATCTCCACGGGAATTGTATCTGTGAACGAGTTGTAATTGTTACACAGCGTGCTGAGAAGAAACAGTGTGATTACTTACTTACCATTGTAAATCCAAGTAGTGTTAGGTACTGGAGCTGCCACGGCATAGCATGATAAAGTCGCGTCTTTCCCATCTAATATTGTTAAATTCTGAGGAGCATTCTCCATGACCGGTCCAGATGCTGAAAACAGCAAGAGAATGATATTATCATTCTATTACATTAACAATCGTTATTGATCTCATGCACGCAAAAAAGAAAGGCAAAACAAACAATTGGTAACAAAAATAACTTCTCCCAATTCAGTGTTTTCCACCTTTTTAAACATTACACAATAACTTTGTAATGGAAAACGCCGAATTTACCCATACCTGAATTTGAACGTTTGCAATGAAAAAACTATTATTGACACATCGCTGTTGCTAAAGTTTAATTACACGTACTAATTTCTCTACAGGCATAGCTAAACTCCTGCCTTTCAAACTTATTCCTAGTTCAAAGAAGAGCAAGTGCTATTTATGATATATTATGTATTGCTGCCTGTCTATTCAAGTGCAGAAACTAAAAACAATTCGCTAATTGTTCGTACGTAACAAGCAAAGTAGCTCTTTATGCGCTCTTCTTGTAGTTATTATCTTTTTATTTATACACAAAACTAATAACACTACAATATCGTACATTTGACTCGACATTCTGCTGGCGATTCGTTTGGGGGAACAACGTGTTCCACGCGCAAATAAGTCATTCATGGGTGTGACTGCTATAGAGCTACTAAACAAGAGAAAAAAAAATACACGGATACAGCCGAAGGAAGCAAACATTGTGGGTGTGATACGCATTCGTCAAGCAAGTGCCTAGATAATCTCAAAACGTGGGTACTTTCGTGACGTCGGAATCTTACTGTCTGGATATTGAGAGAACATAAAACGGCGATCAGATTGGCGTACTCTGACTACATTGTAGCCAGCTGCCCAGCGGGCAACTCTGTTTTTCAGTCTGCTTTCTAATCCTTCTGCCCCACAAAAAATACATCATTTGTAACAAGTGGAAATGAATAACTGACAAACAAAAAAATAATCAGAGAACTGAACAACGACATGTAAAAATGGTCTGCGTGTACTCACTTTTAGCCTTCAGCCAGGTGTAACTAGATGCCTCGCCGGCTTCATTGACAGCGAGGCATTGAAACATGCCTGAATCGCTCATGGTCAGTTTTTTAATAGTCAGAGAACCATCTTCTTCCATCGCGTACCTACAAGTACACGCATATATATGTAAATAATGCAACTTGGTATTTTGGTGCTACGTTAAATTCTCATTTTACCTGGATCCAAGAAGATGGTCCACAGGCTCAGCATTGCGAAACCAAGTGATATTGGGTGTAGGAACGCCGACAGCATCGCACGGCAGTGTCACCACTGAACCGTAGTCGCTCAGAGTCTCTTTTTTCAGTTCCGGCATGAACATTGGCTTCTCTATATACAAACATAAGCTTAAGTTTACTGTACAGTACAATTTGCCTTTTTAATTATATACAAATATAATTAGTAATTTGTGGTTGATCTTTCCAACGAAGATTGCTCAATCCTTCCTTACCGTACACAACAACTTTCGCACTAGCGTTCAAGACAGGATATCCGCCGCTCCTTAACTTCACATGACAAGAGTAGACACCTGTGTAAGTTATGTTCGCTGATATCAACGTTAGGGTCCTATTCCAAGAATCGTAGAAGCTGTACGATATCCTTGAGTTCTCAATGGGAATCCCGTCTTTCATCCATAGGGTTTTTAGCTCGTGAAGAGATCTAAAATTTGTCCAGTTTTCATTAAACAGTTATTCCTTGTTTCATTGAACACAGGAAAGCTTACCTCGCGTTTGCTATGCAATAAAGATAAGTAGCCAAATGATCTTTGATTATTATAGTGTCCTGTGGTTTCACTATGATGGTGGGCGCTACTTCTGTGTTTGGATCTCCAGTGACCTGCAGCTTGAAGAATGGACTGTTCTCATCTTTGCCTAATCGCGCGTTGATGAGACCGGCTCTGTTTAACATAGACAAAATTCACAACAGTTTTCAACAGTCTGCTCTCCGTCGTGGATTCGATTGTCGATACAAACCTGTACAGGCCCTGGTCGCTCTCGGAAGCGTTCAATATGTACAGAGAGTTATTAACAGCTGCATACTTGATACCGTACAGCGATCTGTCGGAAATGAACCAGTTGACAGCAGGTGCAGGATAACTCTCAACCGGTGGCAGTGTCAACACAGCTGCGCTGCCTGATTTCACGGTCACTATCCTTTCCGTGAGGTCCTTGAACGCTTCCATATCTGGGAACAACGTTACACAGTTTCATGTTCAAGAGGCCAGTCAGTCTAATCTCCTCACCCTCTTCTTATCGGCGACATTCTAGAAACCTTATGATACGTACACGCTACCGTAACCGTAATTCTTTCGCTAAATATAGAGCCCACTTCGTTCATGGCCACGCAGTAATAGAGTCCTGCGTCCTCCCTGCGTGTGCCTTGAATTCGAAAATAAGGCTCGGAGGTAAACTCGTTGGTAATGGCCACGCCATCCTTGAACCACTTGTGCTTTGGTTGAGGGTATCCTGCGAACATACGAGCTGCATCGTATAAAGAACTTTCGGGACAGCGGTGTTGAGTGGTACAGTACAGGAAGTCTGTTCGCTGCAGGGAAAATTGGAACGAGCTTTGCCCTTTTTACTTGGAAGAGAAGAATTGAGCCGTTTATTTTGAAAGTGGCATAAGTCACTTTGTTTTCAAGTCGATATATTTAAGGGTTTTAACACGTTTAAAAATATGGATGCTAACTTTCGAGAAGATTTACTTGTATTTGTTATCTCAGGATACTGATATTTTTCTCAGTACAAATAATTTCGTATAAACATTAAAAAATTGCCACTTTTCATTACGGTGAAGTGATTTATGCCACTCAAAATAAACGGCTCAATTATCTTTCATAAAAAAAAGAAAAAAAACATTGCGCGTATGCTACGTTGAACTGTAGCCTAAGCAGCTAGCCTAAGTTGCCCCGGAATAGAATGCTCCCTCGGGGAATTATCATTGTTCACGAGGTGTTAAGTTTTCTGTCTTTGGATGTACCGCGGGCATTTCTTGTTTGGTTCAAGAATATGCACTGCACGGCGATCTAATGCTATTAGCACAGGGTCACACTATCGTGTTACGGCACCAGGCTGCGAGTGTAGGGCTTCATCTGGTCACCGTCTCATCCGCCTGTTACTCGATATTTCATGAGAAGAATGGGACACTGCGCGAGGGTGGCTCGGAAATTTGGCGGTCACTAAAACTGTAAGCAACTGCACGCCATGCTTATAAATAAATCTGTACACCGCGATGAAAATCACGGATGGTACTTCTGGAGTCGAATGATTTCCTTATTGCTACTACCCACAATTTTTCAAATATATTTCATCGTTAATTGGACAGTTTTCCTCCTACAAATACCGGTCTCTCAACGAGGGCGATGAATAGGAAGCTCCGGGGAAACGACCCGATAATTGTTGCGTTTGTTCGAGTGCGCGGGAATCCGCATTCCTGAGAGAGAAAGAGTTCTTAATCAACGCCGGATCATCCCTATGGGACACTGCGCGAGGGTGGCTCGGAAATTTGGCGGTCACTAAAACTGTAAGCAACTGCACGCCATGCTTGTAAATAAATCTGTACACCGCGATGAAAATCACGGATGGTACTTCTGGAGTCGAATGATTTCCTTATTGCTACTACCGACAATTTTTCAAATAAATTTCATCGTTAATTGGACAGTTTTCCTCCTACAAATACCGGTCTCTCAACGAGGGCGATGAATAGGAAGCTCCGGGGAAACGACCCGATAATTGTTGCGTTTGTTCGAGTGCGCGGGAATCCGCGTTCCTGAGAAAGGGTTCTTAATCAACGCCGGATCATCATCCCTTCCGGGTCAGAGGTCTCTTGAAATGCACTCACCCCTCGCTTGACACTCCAGAAATTTCGTTCCATTTTCGATGAGGATATTGCCGCTGTTGGATGGCTGAATGGTGAACCGCGGCTCCTGCAGAACTTCTGTAAAAACAAAATAGAAGCAAAGGAAAATCGAATTAGTTCAAACTGCAATCGCTCGGGAGACCAGAAAATTTAATAATCGTCTATTCGCGACAATTTGCTTTCGAGAAACCACCCCTCGAGCATTTTCAATGGTACTCTCCATTGAAGATTCATTAAACGCATTCAGAATCCTAGGGAAAACAAATCATCGAATCCCCGGGCGAATAATTTAATAGAAAATCGTCGCGGGGGAGACGAGCCGCCCCCCTCCATTGTGATCAATTACATCGGAATTAACCGCTGATTGATTAAACCAGGGGTGTAAAGCGTTTACATTTAATCCTCGCACCCCACACATATTCATTATACGCAAAACTGGGGCGAGAGAACTCGGCGCATTAAATTATAGTTATCGAAGCACGATAGCCCCCGGCTAGGGGGCTCTTGTGTGGTAGAAACTGAGCAAGCACGATCAAACAATTACAACGACAAACCCATATTTTGCACACATTATTCCATTTCACTTGAATTATTTAAAAATACTGTGACATTATTTTCAACCCGTTCAAGCGATTAATAAGGAAAATAAATATCTCTGCGGCAGCTGCCGCATGTTGCAATTAGTACGAACAATTTTTATTGCGCATAAAGTCTCTTGCACACTGTTCGAAGAGATTGCAACAGCGAACCAGCGATCGACGCGCGGCAGTCGATGTGTTCAAATACCGTGTAAACCGGCGGACAGTTAATCCTGTAAGAGGAACCTCGTGCAATAGTGCACGTTTCCGTAGGAAATTCGTGGTAGTTTCTGCAGGTGAACGCAGGAGACGGCCACGAACAAAGGAACAATTGGCGGAAACGCGTAAAAATTCGATCGTCGAGGAGGCGACGGGGCGGCGGGCGGCTTCGAACTCGCCCCCGTCTCGGAAAGTCATCGGACCGTGCGCGGCGGCGAAGAGGGTGCACGTGTCGGTTTACGTCCATGTGACTCGGCTCCTCGGCATCCGGCTGTTCGCATTCTTTTCTCTCCTCTTGATCGTTTTGGTACACCGTAAATTACACGCGCCTCGGACCCGATGACTCAACGCGTCCTCCTCCTCTCTCGTCCCGTGGAATTCGAGAGCGTCTCGCGCCTCCGCCCCGTCCGCCACGAAGGGAATCGTAGCTCCGTAGATTCCGTGGGCCCATCGGAATCTCACCTGTTCGTCGAGACACTGCTCCACAGGTAGGCCCCAGGTAGGATCACCGTCGCGGATCTGTCGAGTGCCTTCTTTCGATCGAATCGGGGAAACACTTGGCCACTCAACGATCTCGTGAAGAGGCTCGGAGCACCGAGAAAACCGCGGCGAACGAATGGCCAGACGTTGCTGCACACGCTTATGAAGTCTTTTAGCTTGTTCTCGAGCTGTCTTGTGTCTGAGGAATGGAGAGGTTCGAACAGTTCGTTGCCTCGTCGCATGATTCCTTCCTGTTCGTACGATGGAAAAATACAGAGTGTTCGAAAAATGTCTCGCAATCCGGAAATTGGAGGTTCCTGAGGTCATTTGAAGTAACTTTTTCCTCTGCGAAAATGCAATCCCCGGCTTTGTTCACGAGTTATTGACAAAATACACTGACCAATAAGAGGCGAGGATTAGCTGGCGCGAAACTACCGAGCCAACGAGCGGTCGAAGCCCAGTTCCGCTGATTGGTCTCTCATTGGTCACTGTTTTTCGTTAATAACTCGTAAACAAAGCCGCGAATTGCATTTTCGCTGAGGAAAAAGTTGCTACAAATCACCTCAGGAATCCCCTACTTTCGGATTGCGAGACATTTTTGGGACATCCTGTATACTGTTCACTATTCAGCGGAGAATTATCCGAATAGCTACCAAGCTTTTTAGCTTGTTCTAACCCCGTCTGCCTATTTCAGGGTTGCAAAGGTCTCTAAATATCTGCGTCAATAATCTCGTGAAGTAAATTCGGTAAACATTCGGAAATTTACACGGCGTTGCCAAATAGTTTTCAGAAAGTGGTGGCGGGCGGATGAGCGGAACAATTGCCGCAGAGAGGCGAGAGAGAGAGAGAGAGAGAAAGAGAGAGATTGAGAGTGCAGAAGGAAAAGCTACCCTCTGCGGGTTGGAAAGCGTTTCCCGACCGAGAATCCGGTTTTCTCGGTTGAACGTTTGTAAAAGCAGATTATCCACGCCCTGGTCCCGCCCTTCCGCGTAAATACGCTGCCATTCCCGGCATCCCTGGTCGAGTGACAGCTGCGGTGCTTAAAATAGGGGTTCGGTACTGCGGCGCAACATGCACCGAAGCTTTTCTATGGCGCGATAACGCGAGCGAGCATGTGCTTCGGGATAAATCATCCCCCGGTTGATTGTCCTACTTGAACCCTGCCCGATGTTGTTCCTCTCCTCTCGCGACGCCTGCTGCCCGATGTTTGCTCTCTTTTCATCCCCTTTCTATCTCTCTCTCTCTCTCTCTCTCTCTCTCTCTCTCTCTCTCTCTCTCTCTTTCTCCCTCCCTCCTTCTCTTTCCCTTGCAAGGCAAACAATCAATGAAAATCGGGAAAATCTGTCTCGGCTGCCGGCGGCTTGCTGACTTCATTATTCCCCTTGTTCGGGACAATTACGCGGCTGATGGGATGATGCATGGTCGGAATTATGTCCACTACTTGGGATCCTACTGTCTGTTGATGCTTGGGGGCGTTGGTCGAACATGGTATAACCGAGCAGTAGCAGTCCTTGAGATTCACTTGTTCTTTTTTATTTATTTGCGACACACAGAAGTTCTGTCGTTGCAGATTTTTCGGAGATCCGCGAATTGCTGGACCTTGGGGGAAGAGCTCGACGATGTTCGAGTTGTTGCAACTTCGCGGAGAACATCTATCCGAGCTCGTTCTACAGGCAGAAGCGTCTACTTTCACCTGCTCCCGTTGTTCTCTTTTTCCCAGGACGATCTTTACGCTGGGAAACAGGTAGAAAGGTTTCTTTGTGTGTCGGAGATTTCGAGGGTATTTTAGAGATCACAATGACCGTGCGGAGCTTACGAATTTGTACGAATTTGAAAAGATTGAAGCTTTCCCTTTGCAAGGGTTCCGTAAAATTCGATGTATTATTTCCGGTCGCCGTTTCAGCGCACTTTCAGCAGGAATTGTGCGTTGACCAGCAGCGTTGAAATATTTCCGATTTATTCGAAGTCTCGTATAATTTAATAAAATTCGGCTCGCAATTTTAAAGTTTCTAACTAAAGCTTAAACGTTGTTTTAGATTTCTCCGGTCCGTATTTAACAAGCGGTTCGTGACAGGAACGATCTTTTGGTACGTCGAATCGAGGTCAATTTTTGTTCTTGAGTACTCAACTGGCGCATACGCGCGTCCCAACAGCCGCGAAACGTTTGGAAATCAATGTGGCCCACTTCGGCGGAGTCAACGGTCTGTTCAATTAATTAACTACCATTCGGTTGATGGCGTTCGCTTTATGGAATTTTGTACGGCGCTTTGGATAAACGATGAACGAACGACGAGAAAGAAACGATAATATTCTTCAACGATCTGTGCGTGCTTTGTCTCGAGGAGTCCGCAGCCAGTTATCCGGAGGGGGGCTGGTTGAATCACCCCGAAAGAAACGGAAATAATTTCTGTTCTGCGTATCGATCGATGCTAGACCGGTTACTGGCCGACAAAACGCGTTGCTATATCATTAGCCGTGCACATCCGACTCACGCAACGAAAAGCAACGTACGCTAAATCCCCTGTCTGGATACATTTCCAACCTTTATACGATGTTCCAGATTGATAACGCTTAACACCGGTGGTTGAGAACGCCTGTGAAACCATAATTCATGTAGGAACGATCATTCAAAGGCTTTACAAGAAGAAAATCATTCTCCGATTAACAGAACGCTGCTTTGAAGCAAAATATCGTTTATCTGTTGAAGTATTTTTAGGCGACTTCTTCCATCAGAAACACACTATCGTATAGCAATTTTAGATCTTTCGAAATATAGAGAACTCTATTCCGTAAAATGCAGTGCTCAGAGCGACAATTAGATTGCTGATCTTCGTGCAAATTTATTCGAGAACAGTCGCATAATTTTTCGTGGTAAAAATCAGATCAAAATATTGCACAGGTTTTCTTGTTTCATGCATATCATAAGTTCGCAAAGATTTATGGTTCATCAGCGATAAATAGACCGCGAATTTTTATGCCAAATAAAAGAACGCCTGCAGCAATTGCGGGGAAAGAATAGAAAGTATGTTCTTCGTTTGAGAACTTTGATGGATTAGGAGTGAAACGTTGACATTTAAAAACTGTTTAACGCGTCTGCTGTTTTAGATCGCGACTACTAAATGTTTCGTCAAAAATACACCGCAGAGAAAAATTGTTCATGAAAAATACACCGCGCAGAGAAAATTCGAGGAGGGCTTTGATCGTCGATAAGCGTCCTCGGACGTGATTTTCGAGACTAAAAATCGAAAAACCGAGACGGGACAAATACGGAGGGGTGGGCTGCGTGGTATGCAAGATTCGAGAGAGTGGCAGCCCTCGTGTGCTCCACTTATTAAAGCTCCTCGAGTATCGGACACGTCGAGTGGCCGGCCGCGGCTGCAGTAAGCACGCGTGTACACCGGAGAGGAGGAGAGCCTTCTGCTTCTTATTTCAGCCCCCGTCGTATTAAACGCCGGTCTTACGTCCATGCCGGCGAAGAACGGGGCGGAACGGCTCGGTTAATTTTCCTCGAGTCCTTTCGCCTCGTTCCGGCTACACGTTCCGTCTCGACCCGTTTTATCGACGGACGGCCGCGGACTTTAACGCGCCCGTTACAAAAAACCGCCCGCAGCGAAAATTCTATCCGCCCGAAAATTTCATTTAACCTCCGGCTCGTCAATTTTTTGTCCGTCACAGCGGCCAACGCGCTTCTGGGAAACGCATCGATCTCCTTTTACGGTCAAACCCGACCGGCGACTTAACATTTTATGCGTCCACCGAATGGGAACGGAACTTTTGCCATCTTTTTTACACCCTTAAAGT